CCCTAACCCAAGACCCGAGCCCGAAACCCTAAACCCCAAACCTGAAACCCTAAAATCTAAAGTGTAGAGCCCCCGAAGACCTTCTGAGTCTGTTCATCTTTGTACAAGCTGGGGCTCAGGGGCTCAGGCGCTTGCGGGCAGGTGTGGTGGCCATTACAACTTGGCACTGGCGCCAAGCGCATGTAGGGCCTGGCTTGACCCTACAGTGCCCTAATGCCCTAAACCCTAAACCCTAAACCCTAAACTCTAAACCCTAATGCCCTAAACCCTGAGCCCTGACCTCTGAGCCCAAGATAGCAAATGGGTTTAGGGTTTAGGGTTTAGGGTGTAGGTTTAGGGCTTAGGAAACCCCAAAGAGAGAACCTAACCCAAAGGACCTAGAGAAACCCTCACATCCCCAAGAGCACAACGCCCTAAACCGCTCACTTTGCCTCTCCGGCTTTCCGATCAGTCGGGTTTTGTTGCAGTATTGCATGTCACACCCGGAACAGACCCGGGACCTTTCTTCAGAGTCTACCTACGTCCCCCGCCCTAAACCCCAAACCCTGAAACGACTTCGGGTCCCTGAACCCATGAACCCTGAACCCTGAACCCTAAACCCTAAACCCTAAACCCTAAACCCTAAACCCTAAACCCTAAACCCTAAACCCTAAACCCTAAACCCTAAACCCTAAACCCTAAACCGGAAACCGGGTGCTTGCCGGAGCCCCGACTGCCAGAGGCTTCTTGGCCTTCCATGAGGAATGGGCTGGAGTGGTGGCTGTTTCGCTCATCTCTTCAACCCCGAATTCCCGAAACAGCGGAGCCTTCAGGGTTTAGGGTTTGGGGTTTAGGGTTTCGGGTTTGGGGCTTAGGGCTTAGGGTTTAGGGTTTGTGGCCTTGCTCTTTAGCCTCTCCTTCACATGTATGCTGACCCCCTATTCTTGAGCTGGCCTTCTTCACAAGCTAACGGGCATTCTTCACAAGCTGGCGGGCGTCATTCAAACATAAGTGGGCGTTGGTCAAACCCGGGCTTTGATCAAAGTACTATGAAAATGGAACAACATTCCGTGGGAATTGGTCAAAGTTTCCATGGGTCTAAGATTCCCATGAGTGTTGGTCAAGTGTGCGTGGGCATGGCTGAAATTTCCGCGGGCATTCCCGGTGGGTTTAGGGCCCATTTTTGGGGGGTTGGTCTTCTTTTTGGGCCTATCGCGTGCCGGGGCGGGGGCTGGCCTTTCGGGTTTGTGGGGCCTTCTGAGCTGGTCTTTAGAGCCTTGGGCCTACTGGGGCCTGTTGAGGCTGAGGGTTATTGGGCTGGTCTTCGGGGGTTTGGGGCGTATTGAGGGTTGTCCTCTAAGGTTTAGGGTTAGTTTTCCTGATGCTGGTGGACTCCGTTGCTCGATAAGCTGCTGGACTAGTGGTCATGTTGACTTGAGACACTAAACCCTAAACCCTAGACCCTAAAGCCTAAATTAAACCCTACCACAAAACCCTAGAACCTAAACCCAAAAACCCTAAGCCCTAAGCCCTAAGCTCTAAGCCCTAAGCCCTAAGTGTACCCTAAACCCTAAACCCTAAACCCTAAACCCTAAACCCTAAACCCTAAACCCTAAACCCTAAACCCTAAACCCTAAACCCTAAACCCTAAACCCTAAACCCTAAACCCTAAACCCTAAACCCCAAACCCCAAACCCTAAACCTTCCTCTCGGGTTGTGGGCTAACCTGCCCGCAGCCCGATGCTGCAGCCTCAGCCACCCCCAACCCCCCAAGCCGGATTTGAGGGGGCTTTCCCAAAATAGGGGTTTAGGGTTTAGGGTTTAGGGTTTAGGGTTTAGGGTTTAGGGTTTAGGGTAACTGCTTAGGGTTCTTTTTTGTCAGGACGAGAAGGTAGAGCAAGTGGGTATTCCTGGGAAATGCCCTCATTTAAATTTCTGAAGAGCCGCTCTGCCTGCATCCGATCCGCAGATTGGGTGCCCCCGAAAACGTCGCAGCAGTAGCAAGGGTCCTGTTTTGGAGCAATTCTGGGATTTTGGGCAGGTTTAGGGTTTAGGGTTTCGAGTTTAGGGTTTAGGGGTTCAGGGGTTTAGGGGAACTGCTTAGGCTGCTTAGGGTTGTTGATTTCAGGTGTTGGGGCCACGATGCCCCTCAACCCTGAACCCTGAACCCTGAACCCTAAACCCTAAACCCTAAACCCCAAACCCTAAACCTGCCTTCGAGAAGAAGAACTTGGGAGGCACGTACTGTGGGAGGCGCGCTGCATTCAGCTGGGGATGTCCGGGTTTCAGGGCTTACGGCTTTACATTTAGGGGTGTTAGGGTTCAGGGTTTAGGGTTTTTTGGGGTTCAGGGTTCAGGCTTTAAGTTTTTAGGGTTTTAGGGCTTCAGGGTTTCAGGGTGCTAGGGTGTTTCGTGCTCAGGGAGGGTTTTAGGGTTAAGGAATTGCAGTCCTATCTTATCTTGGGCGCCAGCCCTTAGCTTCTCAGAACCCCAAGCCCCAAAAATGTGCCAGGCCTAAACACCCCAAGATCGCTCCCGTCCCCCAATGAGGGAGTGATTGTAGCCACGACAAAAACAGGTTGGCTTCAAGACAGTATGGAGGGAAGACAGGGCCCAGGGGCTGGAAGTCTCTTCGCGAAAGTTCGGCTAAGTTTTTGGGTTTAGGGTTTCGGGTTCTCAAGTCCCCCAACCTTTCAGGCCAGGATGGTGATTTCGAGAACTGCCTTGATTTTACATATTTAAAAAGTGCATGGTCAGTTCTCCAAATGATGGTCCCTTTTTGGGCACCCTAAATAGGAGGGGCCACCTTAGAAGAACAACCCCCCAACAGGGACCAGAAATTAGAGAAATCACAACATGGATGGTCCTCTAAATATCAGGTGCCGTATTATAGTAGGGACCCAAAAAGGGACAACCCTAAACTCTAAACCCTAAACCCTAAACCCTAAACCCTAAACCCTAAACCCTAAACCCTAAACCCTAAACCCTAAACCCTAAACCCTAAACCCTAAACCCTAAACCCTAAACCCTAAACCCTAAACCCTAAACCCTAAACCCTAAACCCACCCATATGTAGAGCGAGATGTAAAGCCTCTTCCATCACACCTGCGGGGCACCGAGCTGCTGGCCAACTGAATGCAGGACAAGAGTTGGTGGCGACCGAACAGGGGTTTAGGGTTTAGGGTTTAGGGTTTAGGGTTTAGGGTTTGGGGCGAGGAACAGTGCTTGAGCTCACTTAGAGGTTCATGGGTGGTGATACCTGGGCTGACGAGTAATTATGGCAACCATCCACCGCAGTTGCTTTCGTTTTCTTCGGGTATCAAGAGCTCTTATGTTGTGCCCCCCGAACTTACAAGTAGGGTACCCGAACCCGATATCCCCCTTTTCCCCCAGCAATCCGTCCATTTTCTGATGTCCCGCATGCGCAAGTCTTGGACGGAGGCGTGCTTGAGGTAAAAAGGGGTAGAGGTTCCAGCAAAACAGCAGCAACTACCACCACGCCTGCTGCGGCGACGACTACGATTACGACGACAGCCAAGACACCCTAATCCCCAAACCCCAAACCCCCAAATTCTAACCCTAAACCCTAAACCCTAAACCCTCAACCCTCAACCCTAAACCCTAAACCCTAAACCCAGAATGAGAAGCTCCACGGAGGGAATTGCACCCTGTTCAGGTCGCAGCCGTTCATGTTTAGCAGAGGATCGCCTGCCACCCCGTGCATTGCCCCGCCTTCAAGGATTCCCTTTAAGGTATAGGGTTTAGGGTTTAGGGTTTAGGGATAGTTCACCCTAAATTTCAGCTCAAGCACCCCTTAAGCTTAAGCAGAGCCCTTCAGTCAAGCTTAGTTGCCCGTAACTGGGGGGGGGAGTCGGCGATCCTCGGGTGATTTGCAGTTCCAGAGGACGGGTGCCGAAGGTGGGCGGAGGACTCCCACGACCTCCTGAAGCCATTTTGGGGGGTTTCCGGGGGAAGAAGGGGTACCCTTTTTGGGGTCCCTTTAAGGCGGCTTTTATCTTTCTACTTGGGGTATTAGAGGGGTACCCCCCCCTATTTTGGGAAGTGCTTATTTACCAACTTTAGGGTTCAGGGTTTGGGGTGTCTCACCATCGCTGGGCCCATGCCCAAACGCCCCCAAACATTATTGCAAGCCTGCTGCGACCGCTGCAGCTGTTGCTATGCTGTTGCTACTGCTGTTTTCACGGTTGTTGCGTTTGTTGTTGTTGTTGCCCGTGGTTGATACATACGGCTGTTGCTGTGGTTACTCTGTTGATGTCTCCGTCTTGTTGCTGGCGGGGTTGTTTTGCTGGTTGATTTTGCTGTTTGTTGCTTGTCGGTCTTCGTGCTTGTTGTTTGTGATTCTGATGTTTGTTGTGTTAGTGGTGTTGTTTGTCATTTTGTTTTGTATGGTGTTTTGCTGTGTTATTTTAGTTTTATCTCTGTGTCTGTGTGTGTGTGTGTGTGTGTGTGTGTGTGTGTGTGTGTGTGTGTGTGTGTGTGTGTGTGTGTGTGTGTGTGTGTGTGTGTGTGTGTGTGTGTGTGTGTGTGTGTGTGTGTGTGTGTGTGTGTGTGTTGTGTTTTTGTTTTTTTTTCTCATTGCTGCTATTGCTGTTATTCTTAGTAATGTTTTTATTCTTACGGTTCCTCTTCTTTTTACAATCAGACTCAGCAAAAGTCATCAGGCCTTAGCCCTCAACACTGAGCCTAGTTGAAACCGCGATGTTCCGGACCCGTTCGCTGCTTGTTACGGGGCCGCCGGGGATTCGTGAGCGGGTTTAGGGTATGGGACTTCGGGGTTTGTACTGACACTGACCCACACGACATGTGGCACTTGCTCAGAATGGTGCGCGTGGACCCCAAAATCTCCGTCGCCATCTTGCCAGTCAAATCGGGACGCGGAGCCCGAAGACGTAAACCCCCGTGCCCGGTTGATCGGTTCGTGTCAGTACTCAATACAGTCCAGCCTTAGACTTTCTGCTGAGCCGTCTCATCCCGGCGGTCCCTGAAGAGGGTGCTTTCGAATGCGACAGTGCAGCAGCCACAACGCTGGAGGTGTTCGCAAGCTACTGCTCTGCCTGCAGGAGCCTCGTCAAGTCGTGCAATCCTGCAAGCTTGCCTTTCAGGGCGTGGCCAGGCTTGGATCCAAGCCGTTTGTATGCCTTCTGGGAGGGAAGAAAAAACCCCAAACCCTAAACCCTAAACCCTAAACCCTAAACCCTAAACCCTAAACCCTAAACCCCTAAACCCTAAACCCTAAATCCTCGTGTGGACCTTCCCAGAGGCAGAACAGTCATGGGCCATGGGACGCTACCTTGGACCCCTAAGGTTGTACCCTTGGGTTTGGGGGCCCTTAAGAAGATCCTCCTGGGGAAAATAAGGGTCACATGAGGAGTACACTCAGGGAACCTCTTTGGGCTACATCCTTAGGGGTCCAAGCTGGACTTCCTTGAAACAGTTGCCGTCGGTGAAAGCGGTGAAGCTTCGGAGCCACTTCTTTCTCACGACCCCTGCGGCCAACCGCCTGTTGCTGTCCCTGAACCCTAAGGGCACCAGAGCCCTGTGAAGCCGAAGAAAGTGACCCCCCCCCCCCCAAAACCCTAAACCCCAAACCCTAAACCCTAAACCCTCAACCCTCACCCTCAACCCTAAACCCTCAACCCAAAACCCTAAACCCTAAACCCTGAACCCTGAACCCTAAACCCTCAACCCTAAGCCCTAAACCCCAAACAAACAAAAAAACAACCGTAGACGATTGTTCTTATGTTGGACGCAGGCCCGGGCAGGTGTCGTGTGCAGGTTTTATGCGGTGCTGGAGGCATCTATGGCTCTGCACCGTCGGGAGGCAACTCCTCGAAAATCAGGGAGGTTCAGAGGGCGTTGATGATTGAAAGCAGGTTTAGGGTTTAGGGTTTAGGGTTACGGGTTTAGGGTTTAGGGGGTTCCCCATGAATCCAAGCCCAAAGGCTTGAGCCATCTGTCGCACGGCGTGTGCGGGCTGTAGGGTGCACAAGGGCAGGAGTTTTGGGTTTGACTTGTTTCGGCTTGGGGTTTGAGGGTTTTACGGTTTTAGGGTTTGGGGGCTTTAGGGTTTTAGGGTTTATTGGTGTAGGGTTGAGGGCTGAGAGGGTTATTAGGCTTAATTAACCCTAAACCCCCAAACTCTAAACCCTCAACCTTAAGCACCCTAAACCCTAAACCCTAGACCGACGTACAACCCTCAAAAAACCTCCAACAGCCCCAAAATGGACCGTCTTTCAGGCTTCCTAGATTTAGGGATTTAGGGATTAGGGATTAGGGTTTAGGGTTTAGGGTTTGGGGTTTGGGGTTTAGGGTTTGGGGTTTAGGGGTTTAGGGTTCAGGGCATGGCTTTACAGCCACCCCTGGCGTTGCTCCCTGACTGCGTGAGCCAGCACGTGGCGCCCGATGACCAATGAAAGTTGTGCGATCAGGGTGCATCAGGCTGGGATGGGTTGGCGATCTGCCGATGAGTCGGGCGACCAGCTCTTCTGTGAAAAATAGGGGTCTATACAAGCTTATAGATGTGTATGTCCAAAACCTTAACACCCAAAAAGACACCAACCCCAAGCCCGAAGCCCTGAACCAGCCAAACAGGCAAAACCACTTAAAGCCTTAAACCCCGATCCCTAAACCCTGAACCCCAAACCCCTACATTAAACCCCAAACCCTAAACCCCAAACCCTAAACCCTAAACCCTAAACCCTAAACCCCAAACAGCCACAAGCCATCGAGAGTCGGCAGGGCGATTCCAGCCCATCTGCCTGCGGCATGAGAGCCGACGTGCGGAGAGAAATCTTGGGGTCCGCCGTTGGGTGAGCCCGTAGGATCCTGGTAGGGTTTAGGGTTTAGGGTTTAGGGTTTAGGGTTTAGGGTTTAGGGTTTAGGGTTTAGGGTTTAGGGTTGGGGTTTAGGGTTTAGGGTTTAGGGTTGGGGTCTGAGGGTTTTCGGTTTAGGGTTTAGGGTTTAGGGTTTGGGGCTTTCGGGTCTGGCCATTCCGCCGTAGACTCAATCCGTCAAAACCCCCGAAGCCCTGAAAAAGGTTCCGGCCCTTCTGAGAACCCTGCTCTACTCCACACCCTCACCCCAAAACCCTAAACCCTAAACCCTAAACCCTAAACCCTAAACCCTAAACCCTAAACCCTAAACCCTAAACCCTAAACCCTGGAAGCTAAACCTTGAGCCCTAAACCCTGAGCCCTGAATCCTGAACCCCTGAACCCTAATCCCTAAACCCTCAACCCTCAAGAAAACAGCAACAATCCAAAGGCGCAGCCGGTGAGACCCTCCCAGGTCTCTTGTCGTCTGGGTCCTTGACTTCTCTGGCGGATGCTCGGCGAGACCCTAAAACCTAAAACCTAAACCCTAAACCTTAAACCCTAAACCCTAAACCTTAATAAACCCTAAACCCTAAACCCTGAACCCTAAACCCTAAACCCTAAACCCTAAACCCTAAACCCTAAACCCTAAACCCTAAACCCTAAACCCTAAACCCTCTAAGCTTTACAGCTGCCTCGGAAGCGGCGAACAGTGTGAAACCCCAAGCCTGAGTCCCCTAAACCCCTAAACTGCAAGCCCCAAAAACAACCCTAAACCCCTAAACCCCTAAACCCCTAAACCCCTAAACCCCTAAACCCCTAAACCCCTAAACCCCTAAACCCCTAAACCCCTAAACCCCTAAACCCCCTAACCCCCTAAACCCCTAAACCCCCCCTAAACCCCTAAACCCCTAAACCCCTAAACCCCTAAACCCCTAAACCCCTAAACCCCTAAACCCCTAAACCCCTAAACCCCTAAACCCCTAAACCCCTAAACCCCTGAACCCCTGAACCCCTGAACCCCTAAACCAGAAGCCCCTAAACCCCTAAACCTAAATCCCCTACACCTAATCCCCTAACCCAAAAAGCTTTTAAAGCCCTGATGCCCTAAACCCCCCCAAAATCCCTGCACAAAAGCTCTCAAACTGGGCTCTTGCGAAGGAATCTTAGCTTCAGTTGCCATCGTAGGGGGTTCTTGTGGCAAACAGCTTCGTGCCCACATGACGGCGATTTAGTCCAAGTTTCTCAACAAGACGCCTCAACCCCCCCCCCTCAAACCCCTCCCTAAACCCTAAACCCTAAACCCTAAACCCTAAACCCTAAACCCTAAACCCTAAACCCTAAACCCTAAACCCTAAACCCTAAACCCTAAACCTAACCCCTAACCCTAAACCTAAACCCTAAGCCTAAACCCTACACTAACCCTAAACTAAACCCTAAAACTACCACCCTAAACCCTAAACCCTAACCCTAAAACCCTAAACCTAAACCCTAACCCTAACCCCTAAACCTAAACCCTAAACCCTAAAACGTAAACCCTAAACCCTAAACCCTAAACCCTCAACCCTCAACCCTCAACCCTCAACCCTCAACCCTCAACCGTCAACCCTCAACCCTCAACCCTCAACCCTCAACCCTCAACCCTCAACCCTCAACCCTCAACCCTCAACCCTCAACCCTCAACCCTCAACCCTAAACCCTAAACCCTAAACCCTAAACCCTAAACCCTAAACCCAAAAACCCCGCCAAAAACCTCCCTGCAGCAATAGAAAGCTGCCCCAAGGACGCATGCCTGGTCTCGAAAATCTTGAAGACGGCGCCGCTGCCTGTGGCCAGCGATGAGCCGAGGCCTGCGGCCACGGCCGAGGCCGATCGGGGAGGTGGTTTGGGGTTCGGGGTTTGGGGTTCAGGGTTGAGGGTTTAGGGTTTGGGGTTTAGGGTTTAGGGCTTGAGTTTTGTTTGGGCCGGGTGGGAAGGGCGGTGGGGGTTGGGGTGTTCAGGGTTTGGGGTTTAGAGCCCTGAGTTTCACGCCTGCGGGGGCAGGGATTGGAACTTTAGGGTGAAGCCTCGCAAGAAGGGATGCTTAGGGCTTTCGGGGCGGGGATGGCGCACTTTACTAGACCCCCTGACGCTCCTGCATCTTGCTTTACATACCAGGTCGGTAGGAGGATGCACAAATCTTCAAGAGCTATTTTCGGGCCTTCATAATGTTAATCGGGTGTTATTTTAACTATGAAGGGACCATGGGGTAATATTAGCAGCATCATTCCGAGCCCTATACTATGCGTCTCAGGAGCTTCTCTAAGGGACCATGCGGGGGTGTTGTGCGGGCATGTGAGCTGGACGTCTCGGTTGCGGTGGGACTTTCGCAGCTTCCTTTCCAATCCGAGGCGATCTACGAGGCGTTCACGGCCCATTTTCCGGCAGACCCCAATGGCTTGTGCAACGATGATGCAGACATCATCAGCTTAGCCAGGACATCTGGCAGTGCTTGCAGGGTACAGGAAGTCGCAGTCTGGTGTAATCCAATAGATATATGTGTGTGTATGTGTGTGTGTGTATATCTGTGTGTGTGTGTGTGACAGAGCATCAGAGAGACTTCGAGGTAGAGGTGGAGGCGAGCAGAAACACACGAAGAGGGAGAAGAGTGACACTCACAGACACAAAAGGAAGCCACGAGCAGAAAAAAACAGTGCAGAGAGTTGGCCCGAATGCTGTGGTGTGGCAGGACTCCTCCACTCGTTTTCTGGGTCTTCGGCCAATGTGACGTCTCAGGACACTTGCCATGATGCTTCTGCTAGATTCACTCCTCTCAATCGTGCTAGAATTGTAAAGATTGAGCGCGCAGTAAACTATATTAAGAGCGCCTTTACAAGAGTTTCTATGAGGCTTTAAATGCTTTTGGTTTCTTTTCGCGGCATCAGGACTTACTATTTTCCGGCGGTGGAATACATCCGTCTTGCTGTTTCAACCCTAAACCCTAAACTCTAAACCTTGCGTCTTGTGTGCTTCGCGACTCTAGGGATTCTGGATCCCGAAGCCCCGGGCCCGAAACCTAGAGGAGCCCCCCTTGCTCAGTTCAGAGAATACACAAGCACCAATATGGAGGGGCTTCCGAAATTAGGGTGCCTTATTGGGGTTCCTATTTTCAGATATAAGGGAATCCTGCTATTTGGGGTCCCGCAGCTTACTTGGATTTTTTGCCTAACGGCATCAGTACCAACTACACCAGCCCTCAACCCTCAACCCGGAAAACCCTTACCCTGAACCCTGAACCCTGAACCCTAAACCCTAAACCCTAAACCCTAAACCCTAAACCCTAAACCCTAAACCCTAAACCCTAAACCCTGAACCCTAAACCCTGAACCCTAAACCTGCCCTAGACCCTAAACCCTAAACCATAAACCCTAAACCCTAAACCCTAAACCCTAAAGCCGTACGCGCAGGCGACTACAAGACGGAAGTCTGCCGACGGCTGGCACAGAAGCTGAAGCTGCAGTGGCTTCAGCCCACCTATGCGACTCGCTCGGCAAAGTCGATTTGGTCGGTTCTCTGAATTACGGTCCCTTTTTTTGGTTTAGGGTTTAGGGTTTAGAGTTTAGGGTTTAGGGTTTAGGGTTTAGGGTTTAGGGTACCCTAAATGGGAGGGGCCGCCTTATGAACAGGACCCCAAAAGGGACCATATTTTAGAGAAGTGGACCATTTAGGGTTTTTGGGGTTCAGGGGGTTCTTCGGGCTCGAACTGCTGGGAGCAATGCGTTCCCGAAAGGCCCAAACCCCAGCTGCAGTCCACAGAAACCCGACATTTGTAGACGGAAAGTGCTAATGCCCTCAGGATCTAGACCCTAAACGCCCCTCACTCTGCACCACCCCCCCCCCCCCCCCCACCACATCCCTCAAGCGCCACTGAGGGCTTCGGGCATTTAGGGTTTCGGGTGGTGTAAACTAAACCCTAAACCCTAAACCCTAAACCCTAAACCCTAAACCCTAAACCCTAAACCCCAAACCCTAAACCCTAAACCCTAAACCCTAAACCCTAAACCCTAAACCCTAAACCCTAAACCCTAAACCCTAAACCCTAAACTCCAACACACAGTGAAGTTCCCCTGTGCTGGAGGTCCTCGAGTTGGCGGTGCGGACACCCCTAGGCCCATGCTGTGTTTCTGGGGTTCCCAAGAGAGCCCAAAATGCCCCTTGAAGAAACCTTAATTGGGTTTAGGGTTTAGGGTTTAGGGTTTAGGGTTTAGGGTTTAGGGTTTAGGGTTTAGGGTTTCGGGTCTAGGGTTTAGGGTTTCCGAAATTCGAAATTAGGGGTATTGGGGTCCTTATTACAAGGGGATCCTTCTATTCGGGGGTCTCTATTAGTGGTCCCTTTTTTTCGTAAACCTCCATATAGGAACGCTTATTTCTGACTTCAGGTATCTTCCTTAGTTTAACCACTGATGCAAACGGCCTCGGTAAGGGGACCGAGGCTACTTCAGGGTTTAGGTGGCGCCTGGGGAGGGGGCGCAAGAAGTGGGGGGGGGGAGTATGGTGGGGGCAGGGTTTAGGGTTCAGGGTTTAGGGTTTAGGGTTTTTTGCGTCTTGGGTTTAGGGTTTAAAGGCTTCGGGCTTAGGGTTTGGGGCCAGGTCGCCCGCACACGATGACGCATGTGTTCTGATCACAAGCCCCGAAGTCCCTCCCCCTTTGCGCAAACCTCCGTAGCTCGAAGTTCAGAAGCCTCCAAGCACTTCCGCTAAGCCCTAATTAAACCCTAAACCCTAAACCCTAACCCTAAACCCTAAACCCTAAACCCTAAACCCTAAACCCTAAACCCTAAACCCTAAACCCTAAACCCTAAACCCTAAACCCTAAACCCAAGAACCGTAAAGCTCCAAACCTTCGAGCCGAGCCCTACTTGTGCCCAGAGTAGGGGGCCCTTGCTTTTGAGTTTTTTTGGGGGGCTTGGGCTCCGTAAACCCTAAACCCTAAACCCTAAACCCTAAACCCTAAACCCTAAACCCTAAACCCTAAACCCTAAACCCTAAACCCTAAACCCTAAACCCTAAACCCTAAACCCTAAACCCTAAACCCTAAACCCTAAACCCCTGGAAACCAAAAAGGGTACCCTTTTTGGTCCTAGGTTAGTCTTGGGTCTACCCTACATGCCCTAAGGCATTGAGCTGCATTACTTGGAGGTTCGGGTGGTTTTAAGCAAGGTTCTAAGTTCCCTAAATGAGGCTACACGTATAGCTTCCATAATTAAAGCCCTACTTGTAACTACCCATGGACCTCCAAGTAAGCTCGAATCCCCGAAATCACGCTGCATCATTGTCCAACCGCCCTAAGCCCCAAGAGCCAAGCCCTAAGCCCTAAGCCCTAAACCCTAAACCCTAAGCCCGGAACCCTAAACCCTAAACCCTAAACCCTAAACCCTAAACCCTAAACCGTAAACCCTAAACCCTAAACCCTAAACCCAAGAACCGTAAAGCTCCAAACCTTCGAGCCGAGCCCTACTAGTGCCCAGAGTAGGGGGCCCTTGCTTTTGAGTTTTTTTGGGGGGCTTGGGCTCCGTAAACCCTAAACCCTAAACCCTAAACCCTAAACCCTAAACCCTAAACCCTAAACCCTAAACCCTAAACCCTAAACCCTAAACCCTAAACCCTAAACCCTAAACCCTAAACCCTAAACCCTAAACCCTAAACCCCTGGAAACCAAAAAGGGTACCCTTTTTGGTCCTAGGTTAGTCTTGGGTCTACCCTACATGCCCTAAGGCATTGAGCTGCATTACTTGGAGGTTCGGGTAGTTTTAAGCAAGGTTCTAAGTTCCCTAAATAGGGCTACACGTATAGCTTCCATAATTAAAGCCCTACTTGTAACTACCCATGGACCTCCAAGTAAGCTCGAATCCCCGAAATCACGCTGCATCATTGTCCAACCGCCCTAAGCCCCAAGAGCCAAGCCCTAAGCCCTAAGCCGGAACCCTAAACCCTAAACCCTAAACCCTAAACCCTAAACCCTAAACCCTAAACCCTAAACCGTAAACCCTAAACCCTAAACCCTAAACCCAAGACCTTAAGCAATCCCAAAGCAGGCCAGCGCTCGGCCCTGGCAAAGCGCTGCGTCGAGCAGCTGCAGCGAGGCCTTGGATGTTTGTTTGCTTTTTTTGTTTAACTTATGTATAATGGTATATTAATAGTGATAATAATAGTTCTTCTGCTTCTTCTTCATCTTCTTCTTATTGTAATATCTTATGTTTTTTGAGGGGGGGGGCCGGGTCTTGTTTAATTAGTGGTGTGTTTTGCTCTTGGGCGTTTTGGGGCTCAGCACGTTTAGGATTTTGTTTTTGGGGGGGGGGATTTCGAGGAGATTGAGAAAGGGCTTGGCTGAGGGGGGCCGATGGTTGTTGGATTCAGGGTTTGTTGTGTGCTTAGGGCCTAGGGCATAGTCAGAAGGTTGTTTTTCAATGCAGTTCTCCTCACGAACTTAGCCTCACAAAGACGGCCGCGCTTTGTCACACAGCCTTGAGGTCCTAGGCATTCATCCCTCTACCTGCCTCACGTCCTCCAGAAGAAATAAAGGGTCAATCCATTCTTTAGCCTCCGAAAGGGGTTTCTCATCGTGCATGATCATTCGTTGCTGATTGAACTACTGCAAACTACCCATGATCCGTCAAGTCTCAACCCTAAGCCCTAAACCCTAAACCCTAAACCCTAAACCCTAAACCCTCAGCCCTAAGCCCTAAGCCCTAAGCCCTAAACCCTAAACTCCCGAAATGCCCCCCCAAAACAGGTATGACGGTGCAGATCGGGGATGCCCTGAGGCTCCCCATCCTTTGCCTGTGGAAGGACATATTTGGAGTCCTACACGTTCCTGAGGGTCCAAGGGTTTAGGGTTTAGGGTTTGGGGTTTGGGGTTTAGGGTCTGCAAGTAACCCCACAGAATGTTACAATTGCTGAAAACCCCAGTTATAACCACCATGTCAGAACTTTGACGGGGAAATGTCCCGAAACAGGCTTGGCAGTCTACGTAGAATACTTATAAACCCCCCCATGAAGCTCCAAGCAGAAGATAGGAGCCTGCGGTTCTTAGGGTTTAGGGGTTTAGGGTTGGTGGTTTTGGGGCGAGGTTGTCGACCCTTTTGTGCGCGCCTTTGAGCGGCATGTCCCTTCCTGACGACTTGAGGCTCAGAGATTCAGTTGTCGGTGAAGACCAGTGTAGGTTGCCTGCTGCACCATGTCTTGCCTCTCCAGCCCAATGGCGGCCCCTGCCGAGTATGTGAAGAACATGGGCAGGCACAGCGACACGGAGAGCACGACAGCCCATGACAGCGACATCGAGACCGTCACGGACTCTTGCTCCACTCAGCTGGCCTCGCCTCGTGTGCCCAGTGGGGTCTGTGAGGAAGAGGAAGGCCCTTGCAACGTGGTCGTGAGGAGCACCTTCATCGACCTGGATGACGGCTGCGGCCTCCTGCAGCGTTACCGGCGCCTGCGTCGCGCGCAAACTGACTCTGCCCTGGTGGCCGTCTCCCCCCAGGAGGCCTACGAACCTGGAAGGTTCAGCGACGACCGTGCCAAGCGGGAAATGCAGAGCAGCGTTGCTGAAGCTCCAGCCCTTGCGAAGCGCCCAGATCCCCCAAGGCAGGAAGAGCGCACCACCGTGATGCTGCGGAACATTCCCAATAACTACACCCGCGACATGTTCCTTGCGCTCTTGGACCACCACGGCTTCGCCGGGCGCTACGACTTCGCCTACCTGCCCTGCGACTTCTACAGGGACGCCAACCTTGGTTGCCCAGCTGCGCCACGATACTCCATGAAAGTTCTTTCCGGGCTTTGGGGAGGGGGGGGGAAAACCTGCGGAAAAACCTACCGAAGTGCATGTGTGCTTGACCTCTTCTCCGATGTCTCCTTGTTTGCCTCCCTCTTCAAGAACCCGAGTCCCTGATTTCCAGCAAACGCTGCCCCCTCAAAAGCCCTACGATCTCTTGACCCTTAGACCCTTGGACCCTTAGACCCTGGACCCAAGACTCCGAAGCGCAGAAAGGCTACGCCTTCGTGAACCTCGTGGACGGCCAAGCCGTGGACGACTTGTGGTCGACTTTCGACGGGTTCACCGGCTGGTCTTTGCCCACGGCTAAGGTCTGCCAGGCGGGCGGCTCCGGGGTCGTTTCTTAGGGTATGGATCAATGAAGACCCCCTGAAAGTCCAAAAGCCCTAAATGTTCGAAGAACAGTCTTACAGTCCGGAAAGTCCTAGAGAGAAAAGTCCTAGGGCCACCAAAAAGTCCTGAACAAAGGCCCCAAAGTCCTGAAACTCTCTCTGCCCCCCGCCAAGAAGCCCCAAGCAGGTGAGCTGGAGCGGCCCACACCAAGGCTTCAAGGCAGGGCAAATCTCACGGACATGAAAGCAGAGTTGTGTTGAGGTTCGGGGTTTGGGGTGTTTAGGGTTTAGGGGTTTAGGCTTGTTGGGTTTAGGGTTGAGGCTTGAAGAGTCGTTTCATCCACCGAAGAAAAGTATGAATATATATATATATATATGTATGTATGTATGTATGTATGTATGTATGTATGTATGTATGTATGTATGTATGTATGTATGTATGTATGTATGTATGTATGTATGTATGTATGTATGTATGTATGTAAGAAAATGAATATGTGAATATATGTATATATATATGTCTGTAAATATGCAGCCCCGCTCAGGCGCACGTGGAACGCTACAGGAACAGCCCGGTCATGCACCGAAGCGTGCCTGACCACTACAAGCCTGTTATCTTCAAGCATGGCGCGCGGAAGCCGTTCCCACGACCCACCAAGAAGGTCAAAGCACCCACTGCAGGGCACTTCTGAGGATCTTCGCCGTGCATGATGCCTGGGCAGCCCGGCATCAGGTCTGTACAGGTCGCTTGCTTTGCTTGGCTGCTTTAGCCACAATCCCGAAACACCTGCGTAGAAGGCAGGGGGGGCTTAAGATGTACAGCTGAGTGCCCCACAATATTTCTGCATCATGTCTGCAGCGGTTGTACAGGAGGTGATCTCATACCTCTTGCGCCCTTGCGCCCGAGAAGTGCGCAACTGGCCAAACTTTTTGTTCAGAACTCAGCCTGCGACCGTGTCGAGCTGTCTTTGCTATGGGTCTGAGTGCAATCCTGCTGAGAGTCGGACGCAAGATTGTTGCATTCCCCTTGTGCTGGCCAATTTTCTCACAATGCCCTTACGCTTAGACAAGCCCTAGTCCCGAATGAGTTTAAGCTCCTTAGCAAGAATCCAGCATGTCTCAGACGGGGCTGACGACGTGAGGCTCAGAGATTCAGTTGTCGGTGAAGACCAGTGTAGGTGGCCTGCTGCACCATGTCTTGCCTCTCCGGCCCAATGGCGGCCCCTGCCGAGTATGTGAAGAACATGGGCAGGCACAGCGACACGGAGAGCACGACAGCCCATGACAGCGACATCGAGACCGTCACGGACTCTTGCTCCACTCAGCTGGCCTCGCCTCGTGTGCCCAGTGGGGTCTGTGAGGAAGAGGAAGGCCCTTGCAACGTGGTCGTGAGGAGCACCTTCATCGACCTGGATGACGGCTGCGGCCTCCTGCAGCGTTACCGGCGCCTGCGTCGCTCGCAAACTGACTCTGCCCTGGTGGCCGTCTCACCCCAGGAGGCCTACGAACCTGGAAGGTTCAGCGACGACCGTGCCAAGCGGGAAATGCAGAGCAGCGTTGCCAAAGCTCCAGCCCTTGAGAAGCGCCCAGATGCCCCAAGGCAGGAAGAGCGCACCACCGTGATGCTGCGGAACATTCCCAATAACTACACCCGCGACATGTTCCTTGCGCTCTTGGACCACCACGGCTTCGCCGGGCGCTACGACTTCGCCTACCTGCCCTGCGACTTCTACAGGGACGCCAACCTTGGTTGCCCAGCTGCGCCACGATACTCCACGAAAGTTCTTTCTGGGCTTTGGGGAGGGGGGAAGGGAAACCTACGGGGACCTACAGAAGTGCATCTGCGCTTGAACTCTTCTCCGATGTCTCCTTGTTTGCCTCCCTCTTCAAGAACCCGAGTCCCCGATTTTCCAGCAAACGCTGCCCCCTCAGAAGCCCTACGCTCTCTTGACCCTTAGAACCTTGGACCCTTAGACCCTGGACCCAAGACTCCGAAGCGCAGAAAGGCTACGCCTTCGTGAACCTCGTGGACGTCCAGGCCGTGGACGACTTGTGGTCGACCTTCGACGGGTTCACCGGCTGGTCTTTGCCCACGGCTAAGGTCTGTCAGGCGGGGCGGTTCCGTTTCTGGGGGTATGAGAACCCTAAACGTCCTAAAAGCCCTAAAGGTCCGAGGAACAGTCTTCAAGTCCCAAAAGTCCTAGAGCAAAAAGTCCTGGGGCCCCAAAGTCCTGAAACTCCAGGCCCTACAGTCAGGTTCGCCTCTGCACCCGCCCAGAAGCCCCAAGCAGGTGAGCTGGAGCGGCCCACACCAAGGCTTCAAGGCAGGGCCAATCTCACGGACATGAAAGCGGACTTCTGTTGTGGTTGGGGGTTGGGGTTGTTTAGGGTTTAGGGGTTTAGGTTTGTGGGGTTTAGGGTTGAGGGTTGAAGAGTCGTTTCATCCACCGAAGAAAAGTATGAATATATATATATATATGTATATGTATGTATATGTATATGTATATGTATATGTATATGTATATGTATGTGTATGTGTATGTGTATGTGTATGTGTATGTGTATGTGTATGTGTATGTGTATGTGTATGTGTATGTGTATGTGTATGTGTATGTGTATGTGTATGTGTATGTGTATGTGTATGTGTATGTGTATGTATGTATGTATGTAAGAAAATGAATATGTGAATATATATGTATATGTATATGTATATATATATATATATATATATATATATATATATATATATATATATATATATATATATATATATATATTTATGTGTCTGCAAACATGCAGCCGCGCTCAGGCGCACGTGGAACGCTACAGGAACAGCCCGGTCATGCACCGAAGCGTGCCTGACCACTACAAGCCAGTTATCTTCAAGCACGGCGCGCGGAAGCCGTTCCCACGACCCACCAAGAAGGTCAAAGCACCCACTGCAGGGCACTTCTGAGGATCTTCGCCGTGCATGATGCCTGGGCAGCCCGGCATCAGGTCTGTACAGGTCGCTTGCTTTGCTTGGCTGCTTTAGCCACAATCCCGAAACACCTGCGTAGAAGGCAGGGGGGGCTTAAGATGTACAGCCGAGTGCCCCACAATCTTTCTGCATCATGTCTGCAGCAGTTGTACAGGAGGTGATCTCATACCTCTTGCGCCCTTGCGCCCGAGAAGTGCGCAACTGGCCAAACTAGATGTTCAGAACTCAGCCTGCGACTGCGTCGAGCTGTCTTTGCAATGGGGGTCTGAGTGAAAGGCTTGCCGGCAACGGTGCCCTTGTCAGCACCTGCCGGTGCCAAACCTGGGACACAGGATTGTTGCATTCCGAGAGGGGCTGCTGAGTTTTTTTCTCATCTTGAAGGAGAAAGCCCTTACGCTTCAACAAGCTCTAGTCCCGAATCCCGCTAGAACAAGCCGGGTTCTTGCTCAGGAGCTGCAATTCAGTTACCCTAAATGGACCAAGATATCAAATGCAATATTATGGTACCTATGGCAACTGAGGTTATGTAACTTCCTCAGCAAGAATCCGGCACGACCCAAGCCACAGGGTCGACTGACATCATGACTCCTCTCAGCAGCTGCCCTAAACCCTTGACCCCTCCCCCACCCTGGAGCTGAGTTTAAAGCATCAGGCCCCTAGCTTAGGGTTTAGGGTTTAGGGTTTAGGGTTTAGGGTTTAGGGTTTAGGGTTTAGGGTTTAGGGTTTAGGGTTTAGGGTTTAGGGTTTAGGGTTTAGGGGAACCTTCAGCCATAAGCCCCGAAGTCCCAAACCCGACACCCGAACTGGAATCGCGACTGTTGGGAGGCTGACGCTCGAAACGATGTCCTCGGCACTCTGCAAGGCGAATGGCAGCCTATCCGCAGATTGAGGGGAAACCTGAATTCGGGTAAAGGACCCTGCTTGAAAAGTTCATGGGTTGATACTATATACTACCAATATTAAGCACCCCCCAAAATTTAAAATATTCTTCCTTATAAGGGTAATACAGGAATTATTATTTTCTTAATTTTTGATAGTCGTATACGGCACTACGAAGCAGTTCTAGTAGGAACCACCCTGCTTATCGCCCAAAGCTACCTCTAACACAGTGTCTTGGACATCATGGACCAGGCAGAGCCCCGAAATATTTCATACTGTCCCTTTCTGGGTTAATGCCCATCTTATGTTGGAATCCCCTGGATTTTTTTCGAAGGGCTTATAGGGCCAACTCGGAGCATGTCGGATAGGGTCTTAGGATGGCTTCAGGGTTTCTATGTTGCCCCGTGCTCCAGGAAATGGGCATCCCTCGACCCCCACCTTGCAACTTCCCACCCTGAAAGAGCTGGCTTAGGTAAGTTTAGGGTTTCGGTTAGGGTTTAGTGTGTAGGTTAGGGGCTTGAGTTCAGGGTTTCGGCATCCGCTATGCCCCAACGGTGAGATGACGTGACCCAGCCACCGAACCCTTGGGTTTGTGCACCCTTTCAAAGAACCCCAAAGCCAACGAGTGCACGTTTAGGGCTTAGGGCTTAGGGCTTAGGGCTTAGGGTTTAGGGTTCAGGTTTCAGGGTTCAGGGTTCAGGGTTTAGGGTCCATGGTCCAGGGTTCAGGATCTGGGGTTTAGGGTTTAAGGTTAGGGAGGAGAGTATATCGGCGGCATGCTCCATGCACAACCTTAGAGGTACGAGTTTGAATCCTATGAGTGACCCTCAACTCTACACCCTGCACCCTTAAACCCTAACCCTACACCCTAACCCTAAACCCTTGCCCTGAACCCTAATTAAACCCTAAACCCCACACCCTGAAGTCTTCAGGGTAGGGTGGCGGCCCAGGCTACATCCTGGACTTCCCCGCGGTCGGGGCGGAGGAAGTGCAGGAGGTCTCTGAATTCTTCGAGAAGGCCCCAAATGTTAAAACCTGACTCCGGAGCCCTAAGCCCTAAACCTTAAACCCTAACCCTAAACGCTAAATCCTGAGAATTGGGGCGTTGCGAACTTTGAGCCTACAACTTGGACTCTAGCCTCTGAAGTACCGAATTTTGGGGTCGGGCTGCGAAAGGCATCCAAACAAGTCCTTGCACCTGTACACCCCAAGGGTTTAGGGTTTAGGGTTTAGGATTTAAGGTTAACCCTAAACCTGCAAACCCCAAATCCAAAACCTCAAACCAACCCCAGACCTTAGCCAGAGGGGGGCGGGGAGAGAGGCTCAGGGGATATAAGTAGGGGAACTATCGCGTTTGATGGTTACCGTCTTTTTTGGGGTGGAGGTGCGTGCCTAACCCTCCTACAAGCTCAACCCTACATCCTAAACGCTGAGCCCTACTTTCAACGACCAAATCGGGGGTTGCGCAAAATGACGAAACCTAAGCCATGAACCCTCAAGTGGGGGGGGGGGGAGATTTCGTTAAACAAACTAAACCCTAAACGCGAACTTGACTAGTCCTTATTTCGGGCTTAGGGTTTTCGCCTCTCCCCCCCAGTCATGTTCAGGGTTTAGGGGGTTTCTCCACTTGCAGGGCTTCGGGTTACGGTGCGGACTTCTGGCCGAGGTTGAGGGTTGAGGGCTTAGGGCTTAGGGTTTCGGGTTTAGGGTGTAGGTTTTCAGGTTTAGGGTTTAGGGTTTAGGGCTCCTGGCTTTCTGGACGATGGAATCCCCAGCGCCCCAAGCCTTTCAGACGCCCGAGCCTAAACCCCGAAGTAACCCCTTGAAGACCCAGTTTTCTCATAGAAGGGGGGCTCGAACCCTACAGCCTAAGCCCTTAACGTAAAGACTCCTGGTAAGAAAAAGTGCCCCGGCCGATCTCGGGCGCCAAGATCTCGTGTGCATATACGTATGGCCAGACACATGGTAAGGTACCCCAGCACTTCCGAAACCCTAAACCTAAACCCCAAACCTCTAAACTCAGAATGCAGGTGAAGTCACTCTCCAGCGCGCCAGAGGTGCCGCTGGAGGACATTCTGAAGGCTCGGCAGCGGCGTTCTTTACCAAAAGCTGTTGTTCTGTTTGGGGTGCAGGGTGATGGATTTGTGGTGATTCTGTGCTCTGTCCTACACCCTAAGACCCTAAAACCCTAAACCCCACACCCTCAGACCCCAAGACCCTAAAACCCTACGCTCAACCCCAAGACCCGACCGCAAGGCACCCCAGAAAAGTGAGACCCCAGAACCGCGTACCAGTCTCTTTGTAGGAGGGTGTTTTGCTAAACCCTAAACCCCAAACCCCAAACCCCAAACCCTAAACCCTCAACCCTAAACCCTAAACCCTAAACCCTAAACCCTAAACCCTAAACCCCCTAGACTCAGAACTCCCCATGAGCCTCAGGACGAGGTGGTGTTGGAGCCTTTGGCTCCCGAGCCGGAGCCTCCGAAGCCCCCTGCGGAGGAGGTGGAAGGACTCCCTCTCCGAGGGTTTCGGGCTTGGGGTTTAGGGTTTAGGGTTTAGGGTTTAGGGTTTAGGGTTTAGGGTTTAGGGTTTAGGGTACGAGGGTTTAGGGTTTGGGGTTTTAGGGTTTAGGGTTTAGGGTAATAGGGTTTAGGGTTTCGGGTTTCGGGTAAGAGGGTTTAGGGTCTCGAGTTTAGGGTTTACGGTTCAGGGTTTTAGTTTTGGGTTTTAAAGTTTCGGGTTTAAGGTGGGTAAGGTTTCATGTCAGAACCGAACTGCAGGTTATATAGCCGGAGTAGATTTTCTGCACCTACTTCTTCTGCACCTACTTCTTCTTTCAAACATCTACTACCCATGTCGCTCCACTGGCAGAGCAATACCACCAGGGTTTAGGGTTCAGGGACATTTTGCATACAGTGGAGTCCGTTGTAGAACGAGGTGTAGATATAGCCAACGAAGACATGCCCAACAACTGAAGCAGATTCCTTTCTTAGATATTCGCAAGTTACTCTAAACCTTCGAACCCTAAACCCTAAATTCCTCAACGCCATGCAGCTACCACTGCCGACGAGACGAGCGGTCAACAGCAGACGGTTAGGACCTTTGGGAGTGTATAACCGTAAAGCACCATGTACTTGGGCAGAATATAGGGTAAGTACTTTTCACGTTTTGTTCCAAACGCATCGCCGCACTCCTCCACTACCCTCGGCCTCAGCTTTTGCCAGAAGACCAGAAGACCGCACCAAGTGCTGCTATCGCCAGTCTATCCCAAAGCCTGAGCCGTCCCAAGCCATATGGCATAGTTGCAGAAGGTTCACGTGGCAATTATCGGTAGGGTCACAAGTTATAAGCCTTACGAGCATTCCCATATCTCTATGTATAGTTGCCCATGAACCTCCAAGGAGGCCCTAGACCCTAAACCCTGAACCCTCAAGTAAGATCACGAGTTTTCGGGTCTAGGACCCGGAGCAGGCCCTTGTTCCTATGAAGGGGTTTCGGTTCCCTTGTAAGCCCCGTGAAGCTAAAAAGGGCACCCCTTTTATTCCCATGTTACTCTTGGGTCTAAGGGTCGAGGGTTGAAATTCAAAAGGCTTACTTAGGGGTGTGGCGGGCCGCGCAAGGAGAAGGAGGTGACCCGGATGCTGCTCCTGAAGGTCTCGACACCCAAGCTTTCATGTGGGAGGTTCTCTAAACTATGGTCCGTTATTGGGGATCTTATTATAATACGGAGCCGTATGTTCGGGTACCCCCCCCCCCCCAAAAGGGCCTGTGATTCGAAGACCCCCTGTATACGACAACTGGCTGGTTCTTAGTAGGGAATGAGGGAATGTGGTAACCCATATACTCCCTTAAAGGCTGTATATATAGGGCCCGAATTCCCTCAGCCCCTACTAAGAACTAGGGGGACGACGTAGAGAACTCGGGTTTAGGGTTTAGGGTTTAGGGTTTAGGGTTTAGGGTTTAGGGTTTAGGGCAAAGTCCCTTTGCCATTAACCGCGGCTTTCGGATCGGATGCCTTCGGGTCGTAAGGTTTTCACGGTTCAGCGCCGAGTCCCGGAGGCTCTAGGGCCTAGGGTTTAGGGTTTAGGGGTTTGGGTTTAGGGTTTAGGGTAGGGTCTAGCGTCTAGGGTTTAGGGTTTCGGGTTTGGGTTTAGGGCTAGGACCCTGGTGGAATGGGGTGCTTGTGACATGGATAGTAGTTGCATCTGCTTCTTTCGGGGCCCGAAACTTAGAGACCCCGAGCCCACGGAAAGAAGCTAGGCCCAGAATCTGCATCGTCCGTGTTGATGATCGCTGCTGGCAGTCGATGATGATGGATGACCGCAACTGAAAGTATGCTCCAGCATATTCGAGTATGGGCTAATTAGGAGATCAAAGTATGCTAGTTTATCCCGAACCCCCGAACCCAAACCGCATACCGCCCGTACCCTACACCCTAAACCCGTCATTAGCGCACACTAAATCCCGCACTGTACCGGCCAGACCCTAACCCCAAACCCAAAACCCAAAAGGCCCCAAATCCTAAACCCCCACCACACAGCCCTAAACCCTCAACCCTAAACCCTAAACCCCAAAAACCCTAAAAGTACTAAACCCCCTAAACCCTAAACCCTCAACCCCAAACACCCCTAAAAACCCCCAAAACCCCAAACCCCCAACCCCCAACCCCCCAACCCCCAAACCCTAAACCCTAAACCCTAAACCCCTAAACCCTAAACCCCAAAACCCCAAAACCTTAAACCCTAAACCCCAAAACCCCAAAACCCCAAAACCCAAAACCCTAAACCCTAAAAGCCCTACACCCCAAAACCCCAAAACCCCTAAACCCCAAAACCCCAAACCCTAAACCCTACACCTCAAAGCCCCAAAACCCCTAAACCCCAAAACCCCAAAACCCCAAAACCCTAAACCCTAAAAGCCCCAAAGCCCTAAAAGCCCTGGATCCCGAGCACCAGGTGCCGAGGCGGAGGGCGAAGAGGAAGGCCGCGCCAACGAGGAGGTGCTGGCCTCAGGTTTTGGGGGGTTTTTTAGGGTTTAGGGTTTAGGGTTTGGGGTTTAAGGTTTAGGGTTTGGGGTTTGGGGTTCAGGGTTTTTTTTTTTTTGGTTTTTCGGGTTTTCTGGGTTTTTAGGGTTTAGGGGTTTTTAGGGCTTTCTGGGTTTAGGGGTTTTTAGGGTTTTCAGGGTTTTCTGGGTTTTAGGGTTTAGGGTTTTTAGGGTTCAGGGTTTTTAGGGTTTAGGGTTTTCTGGGTTTTTAGGGTTTTCTGGGTTTTTAGGGTTCAGGGTTTTTAGGGTTCAGGGTTTTTAGGGTTTATGATTTAGGGTTTTAGGGTTTTTAAGGTTTTTTTTGGGGTTTTTTAGGGTTTTTTTAAAGGTTTTTTTAGGGTTTTTTAGGGTGTTTTAGGGTTTTTTAGGGTTTTTAGGGTTTTTAGGGTTTAGGGTTTAGGATTTCGGGTTTTTAGGGTTTAGGGTTTAGGGTTTTTAGGGTTTAGGGTTTGGGGTTTGGGGTTTGGGGTTTGGGCTTAGGGTTTCGGGTTTAGGGGTTTGGGGTTTAGGGTTTTTAGGGTTTAGGGTTTTTAGGGTTTAGGGTTTTTAGGGTTTTTAGGGTTTAGGGTTTTAGGGTTTTAGGGTTTGGGGTTTAGGGTTTAGGGTTTGGATGAGCCCAGTGGCCCTTCACTGTAGGGTTTAGGGCTTTAGGGTGTGTGGGTTCATGGTTCAGGGTTTAGGGTTTTCTAGGGTTCAGGTCTGAAGGTTTAGGGTTTTCAGGCTCGAGTGCCTCAGGGTCTAGGGCTTGAGGGTTTGGGTTTCGCACAAGGACGCTTTGCGTCGAACCGCTTCTGCCGTTCAGAGTCTGGGGTGCGGCTTCCCCACCCCGCCCACGAAAACTCAAGCCTGCTAAATCTCGGTTCAGGGTTTAGGGTTTAGGGTGGAGGGTTGAGGGTTTAGGGTTAGGGTGCCTGACGAGTACGTGGTGAAACCCAAACCCATCAACACCCCAAGCCCCCAAAGCCCTCTAAAACCCTCCCCCCCCCCCGCACCCCAAAGCCTCTTAAAGCCTTCTAAAGCCCCCGAAGCCACCCTGAACCCTGAACCCTGAACCCTGAACCCTGAACCCTGAACCCTGAACCCTGAACCCTGAACCCTGAACCCTGAACCCTATACCCTAAACCCTATACCCTAAACCCTATACCCTAAACCCTAAACCCCAATTGGGTTGGCCGGCGCCCGGCCAAGATGCAGGCCCCGGCTGAGACGCCGCCGGAGGACATCGAGGCCCGGCATAGGGAGGTTTAGGGTTTAGGGTTTGGGGTTTGGGGTTTAGGGTTTAGGGTTTAGGGGGGGTGGGGGGGGGGGGGGTGTTGGAGGACGCAAACCCGAAAAACTCGACGACCAGGGCTGAGGGTTTAGGGTTTAGGGCTTAGGGCTTGGTTCCAACCTTATGTTGGGGCTCTAGATCCAGACCCAAAGCCGGGTTGGGGTTCCTTGACGCCTACAGCCCCCCAAACTGCCACCACACCATACCTGGAGTGCTCTGAAATTCTTTGCCCTAACCCAACCCTCCTCGAGCGACATACCTGCAATTCTCACTAAATAGGGGTCCCCTTTCGGGGTGCTTTTTGTACTGTGCGAGAAAGGTCTTATGTGAACGATGAAGGAATGCTTTGTCTTCAGAGACCCAGCCAAAGACAAGTCCGGCAAGCCAAGAGCACACATGTCGACGGCCTGTTAGCTTTCTTGAATGTTGATCCAAACCGTCTGGGACAGCAAGTCTTGGTTTTTCCGTGAGTTGACTGCAGCACGTGTTTTTTCAAACTCAAACAGAGGTCACCCAGTTTGGAGCCCCAAATTGGAGCCCAGATTCAGGAGGCATTTCTGGGCCCAATTGTGTCGGTCCCGGGCAGAAGCCAGATCTGGCTCACGCAGACGGTCGTTGCTGCGAGCAAAACAAGTCAACTCCTTGCTCAGTTCTGTTCTACGTCCTGCCAGGGCTTCTCTCAAACCTTGGCACAGCAGGGAGACCGTGCGGCAAAGTGTGAACTTATGTTGAGCCGGAACTTTCTCTAACTGTATATAAGGGACGCAAAACCGGGACTCTTTGAGAACTACCCACCTGGTTGCATAAGGACGTGCCACCATTTTCAGAGCATAGAAGTGACGACTGTAGGTGCCCTTATACTGCGTAGGATCTTTGATCAAAGGTATCGCAATGGTTGGGAAACCGTATTCTTTTCAACAGACCCTTATGCAGGCAACTTAGATCCCACAAAGGACAAATGCTGAAGCCTCCATGCACCTCAGTACCGTGGTCAGAGTGAACCCGATACCTTCTGCCTTAAGCCCTAAACCCTAAACCCTAAACCCTAAACCCTAAACCCTAAGGCCCTAAACCCTAAACCCTAAACCCTAAACCCTAAACCCTAAACCCTAAACCCTAAACCCAGTTTACAAAGTCCCCCATCGGCCTTCATCCTCGAGCGTGGGCGGGCTGCAGGCGGCGGGAGGCGAGGCCGCTCCCGAAGGAGGGGCCTTGGATGATGGTTCGGGGTTTAGGGTTTAGGGTTTTTAGGGTTTAGGGTTCAGGGTTTAGGGTTTAGGGTTTAAGGTTTAGGGTTTCGGGGTCAGGGTTTAGGCTGGCTGTCTTTCAAGGTCTGGGGCTCTGAGTTTTAAGGGTTTGGTGAGGTCAGCGTGCATGCGAAATGTCTCCGGTAAAGGTAAAGAAGTGGCGATGTCAAGACAAGCCCTAAGCCTGAAACCCTAAACCCAAACCCTTCAGCCCTCTGACTGAGCCTTCAACCCTTAGACTGAGCCCGGAACCCGGAACCCTCCCCCAACGCCGAGCCGGAGGAAACCCAGAGCCCCCGCCCACCCCCGCCCACCCTAGACCCTAAACCCTAAACCCTAAACCCCCAACCCCAAACCCCAAACCCTAAACCCTAAACCCGAAAACCCTAAACCCTAAATCCTAACCCCGCGGCCTCCCAAAAATTAAAAAAGAAGAAGCAAAGCAAAAGAAGAATTTTTAAGAATGAGAAGAAGAAGAAGCAGAAGAAGAAGAAGAATAATAAGAAGAAGAAGAAGAAACAGAAGAAGAATAAGAAGACGAAGAAGAAGAATAAGAAGAAGAAACAACAGCATGAGACCCTAAGCCTTAAACCCCATGATCAGGAGGCACTGGAGAGGCGGCGCCGGAGGAAGTGCAGGCCGGCTCTTTCCTTGCTTGGGGTTTAGGGTTTAGGGTTCAGGGTTTGGGGCTGAGAGTAACTCCCTGCTCTTCCGAGCTCATCGTAGCATACTGTACTGGGAATCAAAGGGCGTAGAGCTTAGGGTTGAGGGTTTAGGGTTTTAGAGCTTTGATTCAGGGTTACCCCAAGCCTTAAACTTCCTTGCGCCCCGTAGCTTGCAATCTCCTGGCCAGGAGCCGCCCCCACCGCCACCGCCTCCACCCCCGGTGGCGAACCCTTGGGCAAATGCGCTGCCCAGGCGCACTTGGGCTGGGGGGGGGGGGGGGGGGGAGCTACGAATGGCTGAAGAACCCCAATGGCCCTCCCAAAATTTAAAAGATTCTTCCTTATAGGGGTAAAATAGGGATTTTCCTTTTTTGGGGGGGTTCTCAAGCAAATAGCAGTGAGAACCTTCGGACGAAGAGCTATTTCTTGCACCAGGACCTCCCCTCCCTCCCACCTCCTGTACCCGTTTTGTGGGGATGGTTGCCTTACATAAACAGGGTGCTTGGGACTCCTAGGCCCCAAACCCCAGTTGTGTTGTTGCAGCTGAGGGCCCAGGATGTCAACCTCAGAAAGGGAGGCATACGAGGGTTTACGATACTAGGGGTACCTTCTTGGCGTCCTTAGTACAAGGGAATCCTACTATTTGGGGAACACAATTCGGGGTCCCTTGTGTTCGTAACCCCATGTGGCGGAAGTAAGGGTGCTTGCAAGGGTACCCCCCCCCCCCACCCCGCATGGTTCTGCCTCCCTCTATCAACGCACCATTCAGAAAGCCCCAGTCCTCGAACCCAGAACAGACATGTTGCTTGTGGTGACTGTACCCTACATCCCTAAATCCCAAACCTAAGCCCTAAACCCTAAACCCCAAGCCCCAAACCCCAAACTCCAAACCCGAAACCCTCCAAGCAGCACCCTCGGGATCACTGTTGGGCAACAAAGTTGGAGGCGTTTCGTCGTGCTGTCAATGGCTCCTTGCCAGCATCAGAGTGCTTCCGGCCACAGCCTAAACCCCGAGTGACTAAACCCTGAACCCTGAACTCCAAACCCTACAGCCCCAGCTTGAAAACTTCAGCTGTTATCGGACGGAAGGGGGGAGAGTGCTCGACCACGACGTAGATCCAGGCTCCTTCCAAGGCACCAAGGAAGATGCGAAGATCCGACTCCGCCTAAGGCCCTAAGGTTTGCTCAAAGCTAGGGTGTACGGTTTGGGGGTTTCCGAACTTAGGGGTTACTCATGGAATTATTGGGGGGTCCTTAATTTTTTCGGAATCCTACTATTTGGGACTATATCAGTAGGGGTCCCATATTTTCGTAAATCCGGTTTAAGGTTGAGGGTTGAGGGTTTGAGGGTTGAGGGTTTAAGGTTGAGGGTTGAGGGTTGAACCCTAAACCCTAAACCCTAAAACCTAAAGCCTAAAGCCTAAAGCCTAAACCCTAAACCCTAAACCCTGAAGCCTAAAGCCTAAAGCCTAAAGCCTAAACCCCTAAACCCTAAACCCTTGAAGGAGCTTCTACCTGGAATTCTTAAGCCGACAAGATGCCTGTTGGGCTCCCGCCTGGACCTGCCTTCGAAGTCGTGCCTGCTTCCACCCCTAAACCCCAAGCCCCTAAACCCCTAAACCCCTAAACCCCTAAACCCCTAAACCCCTAAACCCCTAAACCCCTAAACCCCTAAACCCCTAAACCCCTAAACCCCTAAACCCCTAAACCCCTAAACCCCTAAACCCCTAAACCCATAAACCCCTAAACCCCTAAACCCCTAAACCCCTAAACCCTAAACCCCTAACCCCTAAACCCCAAGCCTAAACCCTTAAAACCCTAACCCCAACCCCAACCCCTAAACCCCAAGACCCTAACTAAACCCCTAAACCCTAAACCTAAACCCCTACCCCAAGCCCCTAAAACCCTAAACCCCTAGCGCCTAAACCCTAACCCCTAAACCCCTAAACCCCTACCCCCTACACCCCTAAACCCCTAAACCCTAACCCCCCCCCCCCCCCCCCCCCCCCCCCCCCCCAAACCCTAAACCCTAAACCGTGAACCCTAAACCCTAAGCCCTAAACCCTAAACCCTAAACCCTAAACCCTAAACCCTAAACCCTAAACCCTAAGCCTCAGGAGAGTGAGGAAGTCGGAGCCTGGCGCCTTCAGACGCTGAAGCTGAAGCACGAGGCAGCTGCAGTTGGATTGCAGGGTTTAGGGTTTGGGGTTTAGGGTTTAGGGTTTAGGGTTTAGGGACCAGGGTTTAGGGTTGTGGGTTCTAGGGCGTGCTGTGTAGGATTTAAGGTTAGGTTTTGTGTTCTAGGGTGCACCGTGTAGAATTTGAGGTTTAGGGTGTAGAGTTTAGGGCGTCAAGTTTTAGGTCATAACCCTTGGAGGCCCGTATGCATGAATTGAAGACGCCTGCCTTTATTGTACAAGCCTTTGTTAAACGTCAATAACCCTTGCAACCCTCGGGATGATTGCGGGTCAAGGAGGTATGTGATTTAGGGATCGAAGCGAAGCCAGCTAAGCGCTCTTCCCCAAACCCCAACATGCAAAAGCCTAAAGCCCCAATCCCTAAATGCCAAACCCTCAACCCCATATCCCCCTGCGTAACCATGAAGAAGCCTTTGTTGCCCTTGCACAACCCGCATTGCCCATTTCTGGCCTTTAAACATATCTCTTATAGAGCCTCGTTGATATGTTCCCTTTGGAGGAGCTGTATATCAGGCACCCCCCCCCCCTAAACCCTGAACCCTGAACCCTGAACCCTGAACCCTGAACCCTGAACCCTAAACCCTAAACCCTAAACCCCCCCTCTTGTTTTGCTGGGAAGCTCCTTTCCTGAAGTTCTCCTAAAACCAAAAGGGGGTGGTCTTCCGTGCGTATGGGGCTGGGCTGGGGGGGTGGGGTGGGGGTGGGCTGAGGGTTTCGGTGCATACCCTAAACCCTAGACCCTAGACCCTAGACCCTAGACCCTAGACCCTAGACCCTAGACCCTAGACCCTAGACCCTAAACCCTAAACCCTAAACCCTAAACCCTAAACCCTAAACCCTAAACCCTAAACCCTAAACCCTAAACCCTGCAAAGCTCTGACCAGGAGAAGGCACGCCTGCGCCAGGAGCTGGAAGACGCGGGCGAGGAGGCCAGAAAGGAGCAGAATTGTGGGTGTCGACTAAGAGGTACTGGGTAGCCTAGGGTTTAGGGTTTAGGGTTTTGGGTTTAGGGTTTAGGCTTTAGGCTTTAGGGTTTAGGGTTTAAGGGTCCCGGACTCGCTACTAAGGCGTACTAGGTAGCCCCCTGATTTAGTTCTATTGGTGCTTAGGGTTCGGGGTTTAGGCTCTCGAGACCTTATCCACCAATCCCTTCAAAGAAGCCTTCCTTAGATTAGTGGCGTGCAGTACCTCCGCTCCTGGAGCTGCCTTTGAAGGGGAGTCTTGTGAGTAAGACCCTCAGGGTCTCAGGCTCTCAGGGTTTAGGGTTCAGGGTTGGTTTAGTTTTGGAGGTACCGGAGGAGGAGGAAGAAGTGGAAGAAGAGCTCCCGCAGATCCCGGAAGAAGAGGAGGACTCAGGGTCTGTCGGGCTGAGGGGTTTTCAGGGCTTAGGGTGCTGAAGTTGAAGGGTTTAGGGTTTTAGGGTTTAGGGCACAAAGCCCTAAACCCTGAACCCAAAAAATCCTAAAACCCAAAACCCCAAAACCCTAAACTTTAGGGTTTTGGGGGTTGTAGGGTGGTTTAGGGATTTTCCCCAATGTTGTCGGAGCCTCTGGGATTTTTGGGGGGCTGTTGCGGTTTAGGGTTTAGGCCCTAAGCCCTAAGCCCTAAGCCCTAAGCCCTAAGCCCTAAGCCCTAAGCCCTAAGCCCTAAGCCCTAAGCCCTAAGCCCTAAGCCCTAAGCCCTCAGCCCTCAGCCCTCAGCCCTAAGCCCTAAACCCTAAACCCTAAACCCGAAACCCTAAACCCCAAACCCTAAACCCTAAACCCTAAACCCTAAACCCTAAACCCTAAACCCTGAACCCTAAACCCTAAACCCTACATCCTAAACCCTAAGCCCTGAACCCTAAACCTTCAGGCTCCAATCCCAAAACCCCGAAGCCTCGCCCGAGGAGCAGCAGGCCCTCTTCGGCAAGATGGTGGCCTGGGCAGCAAGAAGCCCCTGGAAGGGTTCAGTTTGGGGTTTAGGGTTTAGGGTTTAGGGTTTAGGGTTTAGGGTTTAGGGTTTAGGGTTTAGGGTTTAGGGTTTAGGGTTTAGGGTTTAGGGTTTAGGGTTTAGGGTTTAGGGTTTAGTGTTTAGGGTTCAGCATCTCAAGTCCAAGCATTCACTAGTCAAGAAATTTCTCTAGAAAAATACCCACCCGCCCAAAGAATCCCACAACATTAAGAAAATATTTCACTTATGGAACGACCTTGCCCAGCAAAAGATGACCTTGCCCAGTAACAAAATGACCTTGCCCAGTAGAAAAAAGACCTTGCCCAGTAAAAAAAGACCTTGCCCAATAAAAAAGTGACCTTGCCCAATAAAAAATGACCTTGCCCATCAAAAATGACCTTGCCCAGAAAAAAAATGACCGTGCCCAGTAAAAAAAAAGGCCTTGCCCAGCAAAAAAATGACCTTGCCCAGTAAAAAAATGACCTTGCCCAGTAAAAAAATGACCTTGCCCAGTAAAAAATAACCTTGCCCAATAAAAAAATGACCTTGCCCAGTAATGACCTTGCCCAGAAAAAAACGACCTTGCCCAGTAAAAAAATGACCTTGCCCAGTAAAAAATGACCTTGCCCAGTAAAAAAAATTGACCTTGCCCAGCAAAAAGATGACCTTGCCCAGTAAAAAGATAGCCGTTGAGGGCGCGTGGGTGTTTCCAGGGACCCCCCTGAAACCCCCCTTGCCGGCCCAATATACGCCTGGAACCGCGCAGACCTTTCTGGGACCCCCTTGAGCCTTTCTGGAACCATTCTGGGACCCTCTTTGAGGCCTCCCACAGCAAGAACCTTCACCCTCCTGTCACTCCCTCTTGAAACACTGGGACCCCCGAGCATTCAGGGCCACCCAATTCCGGAGGCGACTGGTGGAGTGGTGGTGAGACTGTGCACGCAGCCCTCAAGGTATAACAAATCAGGCTGTCGATTGCAATGGCTTACGCATCTTCATGATGACCATGTTGTGTGCCTTCAGTGGCGCAGATATTCATGTTCTTTCACTTTGCATGCGTCTCCTCGAGGGGTTCATGTACTTTTGGAGTTTATCCCGCAAGTCCCTCAACCATGTCATGCACTCTTTGTTTGGAAATGGCTCTGGTCGCAAAAGATCGGGCAAGCAGGGCAAACAGGGCAAAGGCAAATCAGACCAGGAGCCGAAATCCGATGCTCAGATATTTATGGAAGCCATGCGGGATGCTCTCCCCGTTGAAGCCCGTATGCGTGCACAAACAACACTATTGCAGTCTGAGTGGTCCGCAACGGTATATCCTCACTAACAATTGTCGGCACGTGGTGGCATCTCAGTTGTGCCGAAGGATTGCTTGCCAGAGCTGATTTCCCGCATAGGATATTCGGGGCAGCCGACAGCTGTAGTACTCACACAATGTCCCGACGAGCTCGGTATGTGTGGATATCCAAGGGATTGCGTTTCTTGCACTTTAGTTGTGGCTACAGAGCATGGCGCCAAGGAGTATGTGCAGGCCAAACGCTGGCTAGTCCAGCTCGGAGTCGGCTCTCCCGTCCAGCGACAGGTGGAGGGCGATGAGATCACCGTTGGAATACACATGAGCAAGATGGTATGCAAGCTGAGCCCGCTGCATGGTTGGGCCTCAGGGCAACATCCTTCTTCAGTGCTGATTGCGCAACTCACAGCGCGCATTCCTGAGGCTGCTGTTGATAGCATCATTGCTCGCGACGACGCGACCTTCACTTTTCTTTGTGCATGAGGCTTCCGTCGACTGTGTGCTGAAAGCCTCTGGAAAGCAGGGAGTTTTCTACAAACTGCATCGGGATGAAGTTGCCTCCAAGACGTTCGAAAACTTTGGCTCCCACAAGCTTCTTCCCTCGATGATGGCGTCCGTTTGCTTGGTGATGCAAGAGCATTTGGATTGGTACAAAAGGGCAAGAGCGGACGGTTGGCGCTCCGCTTCAAGGCTTTGGATGCGCTGGCGGCATACGCCAAAGAGAAGAGTTTGCAGGATACTTCCGGATATGGACGCTGGAAGGTGTCTGGTGTGCCAGTCTCAGCTGGTATTCACGGGCGCGTTCTTGGCAAGTTGAGCAAGTTGTTTACATGGATGAGCATCACGCAATCTTTCTCGCTGCAAACAAAGGACTAGATTCCCCGGTCTTCTTTCGGACTGGCTCTCAGGCACAGCAGATTCGTTTCAAGGCCCTCAACGCCAAGACCTGCGAGGACTCCAAGGATGTGGCGATGGCATCCCGTGATCGTGCTCCAGGTATTTTTCCCCAGCGGCTCAATCGAGATCTTGCAAGGACCGACTTTCTACGCTCCGTTGTTCCTGGGTTTCAGGTTCCTCCGCGCACTGGCAGTCCACCCCCTCTTGCTGTCAAGCGTCCGCCTGGCAAGTCTGGCGAGACTCCTGAGACCAAGGGCGCGAGGAAGGATGGCGATGAGCTGTGATCTTGACAAACAGCAAAATATTCTCCATTCTCCATTACAGCCAATGTGCATGGTTCACCGTGTTTTCGCTGGTCACGAGTTGCACTTGCTTTGTCTTTGGATCTCTTCGACTGGCTGTTAATGTTTACATGCGTGTGGTCAAAGGGAATACGGCTAGCAAGCGTGCTTTGCAATCTACAGGCGCTGATGTCGAGGCCATCAGTGAGACTCACCTCACACAGGAACATCAGGGATGTTTGAAACATTCCTTTGGTCACTACGAATGTTTTTGGGGTACTCCGGTATTTGGCAAATTTGGTGGAGTCGGATTCCTCGTCAGGCGCGGTTCGTGCTGGCATGCCAGACTTCTCGACTTTCCTCGTGACTCAGCTTGTCGGCGGCATATTGACGCTGGACGCCTTTCGGTGCTCTCGACACATCTGGGCAGTGGTTCCCGCCGATTGCTGATATACAACATATATGGGTACAGCGGTGCTCGTTGGAGTTTGAAGCTTCGGCACTGGACTCAACGGCTTATTGAGGATGCTTTGGGTGATGCAGCTTCTCGCGGGTTGCCTTGTGCTTTCGGCGGCGATTACAATCTTGAAGTGATCGATTCCCCTTTGTTACAGCGCGTGCCACAAATGGGCTGGTTTCATGTGCCTACCTTTTGTGGGCAGGCGTCGGTTCACACGTGCTTTAAAGGGTGCTGGTTCGAGCATTGATCACATTCATTTGAACGAGCTTGCCATGATGAGTTTTGCAACTTTCTCGGTGGGTGACAGAGCGGGATTCGCAGACCATTGTCCTTTGTTCTGTTGCCTCTCGTTGGAAGTGTGTTCGCAAACAATCCTTCGCAATCGAACGTACGCATGGCTCAGCATTGATAAAGATGTTGGATGCCCCGGTTGTGGACCTGGACTCTGGTTTTAATGCAGCTCTTCGTGTCGGTGACGTGGACATTGCTTACAGTATGTGGAGCCGTTTTGCAGAGCGACATTTACAGGAAATCTGGCTCCAAGCTAGTTACTCCCTTCAAGCACGGTCGTGGTACCATACGTATTTCCCCCCAGGAAGTTTGGCCTCCTTCATGTCGTGACTCTGCTGCGTCGTTCCAATGTCGTCGTCTTTGGCAGATAGCCAGCAAGATGGTTGAGTTGGAGAAGCGTCCTACAGGCTACAAAGCATCTCAAACCTGGTCGTTATTGATCCAGCCGGTCACTTCCATCCTTGATGCTGTATGCTCAACGGAAAACGCTCGTCAGGTTCGGCTTTTACTGGACTCAGCACTTGTGGCTCCAGAACGAGGAGAAGTGGCGCCGGCTGCGCGACTGGAAAACAGGTGGCTCAGGCAGGATGCGAATGCTCAGACCCGGTCATGCTTCAACGGTCCAGACGGTCAGCCCACTGCGAACGCTCAACGCCAATTTGATGCTGTTCGTCAGGCATGGCGTTGACGGACCTTTTCAAGGATGGGGAACCTGACGCTGATGCTTTCTTTGCTGCTTACGGTCGCTACATCGCTCCGGTCGAGGTTGAGCTGAAGCCGCTTACCGCAAGCATGTTGCGTGAGGAACTGCTGGGCATGAAGGCCAGTAGTCCCGGGTTGGATGCATGGAGTCATGAGGACCTCAAGCTTTTGGCTGTTGGTGCCCCCTGGGTGTTTGACTCGCTCTGTGCCCTTCTGCAGTCGTTTGAGACACATTCTCGTTGGCCCGTCAACTTGATTTCTGGTTTCACGGCCATGATTCCTAAAGCTTCTGGTTCCGTGGTGAATCCGAGCGAGCTGCGCCCCATCACAGTACTCTCACAGCTTTATCGTTTATGGGCGCGGATCAGAGCCAGACAGCTCAATGTGAGCTGGCAAGAACAATGGGCACATGATGGTGTCTGGGGTGGTCGCGTTGGTCGAGGCGCTGAGCCTCTCTTGATAGACGTTGCTTTGGACCTTGAGACATGTGGCCCTGGCTGTGTTTCGGCCGGATTGAGCTTTGACCTTTCTAAGGCATTTGATCGAGTGCCAAGGGAGCTACTTGGTGAACTTCGCTCACGCATGCGCCCCCCAAAGATCGTGCACGGCCCATATATGCACATGCTCAGGCGTGCGACGCGACGCTACAAAATAGGTGTCAATCTCGACAAGTTGACAAGCCACAGGGTCTGCATGGTGGTGTGTTACAGGGCTGCCCACTGTCAATGGTCAGTATGAATTGCCTCATCAACTTGTGGCTGCGAGCGCTGCAGGGCGCTATTCCACATTCCAGGCCCAGAGCATACGTTGATGATGTCTCAACCACCATCATCCAATCCGACGTGCAGACCCTCGCCGCGGACCTGCAGAAGGTTGACACAGTGTCCAACGCTTTCGTGCCTTCTTTCGGAGGCAAAGTCAATCAGGGAAAATGTTTTTCATTTGGGCACAAAGGCGTTGCTGGTTGTATTCGTCCTGGTATGGAGCACTGTGACGAATTTCGTTTGGTTGGTGGGTCCTTCGTTTTTCGCGAAACGGATCACGTTACTCCTGCACAACTTGAACTACGTCGTCTTGAGAAATGGATGCATGCAGTCACCAGGGCTCGGCATCTTCCAGTCTCTCTCCGTGATCGTTGCGGCTGTTTCTCACGCGCGAGGACTCAGTTTACGTGGGGCACTGGCGCGCATATGCTGGCTGTCAACCGCACACATGAGGATGCCATTACCAAGTTAAGATCGGCAGTTCTCCGGTGTCTGCTGAGGCGTGATCAATATCAAGTCAGTCCTGCCTTGTTTCTGACTTTACTGGTTCCGCCTTCCCTGAACCCTCACTGTTGCCGGGTTGTTGATGGCCTCGTGATGTTTTGGCGGGTCATGTGGGCGACTCAGCGCTTCAATGTATTCCGAGTTCTGTTCAATTCTCCCAACGTGACCGCACGGGATGGCCCCATTGCCAGGCTTCGACAGATAGACTCGCTACCTGTTTTTCAAGGCGTTGTGACAGACATGTTTCGTCGCTCTCAACATGAACTTGGGCCTTGGCTCCACCATGTTCAAGATGTGTGGCGCAAGTCGCAGTGGACGCGCGGGGCGAGGGACCGCCCTTCCTTTCGCGGCATCCAAGTTGGGATCAAGCGTCGCGAGACTCTTGCCCTCTTGAACCAGCTCGAGACAGATGCTACTACACATCGTGGCGTGCAAGCTGATCTGGCCCAAGAGAATGCTCGCGCGCGGGCAGCCGTGCTGCGTTTGCTCTTGACTGGTGGACTCCTCACTCAGGACGTTGTCACGAGGCATAAGTTTCAGCGCAACACTGACTGCGACTGCCAAGTGGGAGGTCCTCAAACGGTCGACCACATTTCCTGGCATTGCGCACATTACGACCAGTTGCGAGCTCCTGTTGCGCATCTCCGTCGTCGGCTTCGTCATGCTCAACCTTGTTTTGTCTACGCCACCATCGTCACGGAGCCCGATGCTGATTTGACCCCACATGTCCGTGTGGTAGAGTCCACCTTGGTTGACGTTTGGCAACAACACATTCAGAACTACATCTCGGGTGATTTCGCGCGACCTGGCGATGGACCACCTCCGGACAACGGTGGGTCGGCCAACAACTCGGTGCCTCGCACTGTCGCTGACGGTATTCATGAGAATGGTCATTTCATCAGAGGTGCTCCGCAGGGTGGAGTTTTCTGCGTCAAATGTGGGAAACATGTCACCGAGGTGCGGCATCGACGACTCAAAATTTCCAGCACCAAATGCAAACAGGCACAAATCCCAGAGCATCATTGGCTTTCCTCTCCGAATTACAGTTCGAATCCTCACAGATTGCTGGCCCTTTTCCTTGACATGCGATCGCATTGTGGCAAGCACGATCTAGCTTGGGATGGCTCGGTCTCGCGTAGCGAACCTCATGGACACATATCTTGCTTGCGCTGCCACGCAACATGGACTTGGAGAGATCGTCACAATATGAAGCGGCGTGACTGTGTTGGTCATCGTCGGGAGCGTACCCCGTCGAGATGGATGTCCATGAAAGCTGCCGAACGTGATGCTGGCGCTGCGATTCAGATCTTGAGCCAGCAAAATCCGGGTGATGCTTTGTCTGCCCCTCATGATGTTGATGCTTCGCAGTCACGGGTTTGCAATGGACCTTCGACTGGTGCTATCTCCACTATTTTGCCGAGCACTCCGGCCCCTCGCCGACGTATTGTTGGCAAAGCCAAAGTTTCACAGGCTGGGCTACGTTCATCGCAGAGCGGTGTCTCACCTTCACACAATCTTCTTTCTTCTTCTTCTTCGTTGTCAGGCGGCCACATGCAGATGATTTTGCTATTCAGAGCTTGTCGATTTTCCAGTTTAATGACATGGGCTAGCTTCCTTTCCCCTTTCCGGGTGACTTGGCACCGGGTAGGTTGCCCTGGGCAAGGCAAGCTTCAGGGCCACCCAGGAGCCTCCCAGAGGCTCAGGACCCGCCCAGCGTCACGCGCGTCACGCGCGTCACGCGCGTCATGCGCGCTGAGCCGCCGTGACGCGCGTGACGCTTGTCACGCGTCCACGTGTGCCGCGCGTGACGCGCGTGACGGTGGATGGGCGGGTGATTTTCTGATTTTTTGTGATTCTGCCCGGCGAAAGTAGGGTGACCGTGCTTGTTTTTTCAGCCACGTCGAAATTTCTGGGGGGCTTTTTTTTGGCGTAATTTCCATTTCGTCGGTTTTTGGGGGGATTTGTTGATTTTGACTTCCTACGGTGCGGCCCGGGTCCCGTCACAGCACGGCGGCTCGGGGTCCGATCGCCGGGTGCCATTTAGAGTACGACCCAAGAACCGCCGGGTCAGAAGCTGTGCGACCGCAGACTCAACTCCCCGGCGCTGCGGGGGGACAGTGGGGGGCCTCGGCCCCCCCATCCCCCGTAGGCAGGGCGTGCCCGACGCCGTTCTGTTGCTGCAAGCTGTGTATTGTTTGTCCGGCCAGGCGTCTCACCAATTCGTGCAACTGCCGTAAGAGAGCTCCCTGCCTCGAAAGAGCGTGAGTCGACATGCTCATGTTCACACGTAGCAATGATGTTAGAGTTATTCATAGGACCACAACTAGACTAAGAGAACTTCGATGAGCACCGCTCAGACAGTTCTAGTCATGGTAAGGGTCATGGCAAGACTCTTCAACTGCTTAGCCAGAGCACTGCTGCGACGAATATGGAGAGGTCGATCTTCCTTAGTACTACTTCTTCATATTACCAAGTAGCCTTAGTGTTAGATTCGTACGGCTCCGACAGTACTACTTAGTCATGGTAAGACTACTACTCTGACTCGCAAGAGCACTGCTCCGATACATAAGGATAACATTCTGGGCGATATCCTTTAGCACTAGTGAGTCAGGGGCCGGAGCCTCAACAATTCGTGCAACTGCCGTTCCACGAGCCAGTGCCAGTAATGCCAGTTTGGAAAATTGACTGCCGCACACATCTTCTCTGCAGGCCTTACTGCTTCTGAGGACCAGTCCAGTGCATGACATACATGTTTGTTTTGCTTCTCGGCGGCTCGCGTACCGCGATATTGTGATTGCTGCGCGTCGCCTTGCCGTTTTTCTCACAGAGGCTCAGGGCTGAAGACTTCCTTAGGCGCAGGGATCGTAGCAGAACTGGTAGCTGTCCGCCCGTTAAGCGATGTCATCGCCTGCCAGGGCCCTCTCAGTTCAGCCATGGTGGGTGGCTCAAATCCCCAGTGGCCACAAGAGCTGGGAGCTGCGCGGTCGCCAGACTCATGTGCGTGCGCAGCTATCGGCGCGGGGCAGCTGTGGGGCGAGATCACGATCACTGGGTGCAAGTTCATTGCGGAAAAGGATGCAGGAGGCACGCTTATCCTCGTTCTGGACGCAATCCAGGCCTTTGACAAGCGTCGGGTGGCTCCCTACACCCTTCGCAAAAGCCGACGACGACGACGACGGGTGGCTGACCTCGCGACTCTGGCCTACACTCGGGTGTACGCTTGGATTCTTGAAGATCCGACATGGTGTCCCGATCCCAGGTCATATCGGCATCCTTCAGGCTGCCAAAACTGGATACCGCTGTCGCCTTCGCCTCGCCCGAAGATTCCGAGAAAGCGTCCGGCCGTGGCCGTGGAGGACGAGTTCTCCGGCATTCGGCAGCTCAACTTCCCGGCAGGAAAAAAGCGGGACTGTCTGAAGCCTATCTGCAACGGTTGCAGCCTAATGAGGGATGTTCTAGGATTGAGCGCCGGCCATCTTGAAAAGCGGTTTGTAGGAGCGACCGACTTGTGATGCTGTCCACAGCCGCTGACTGCCTCTCTTTTGTAGCGTTCGATCTGGCGCCATGGGAAAGACCCACGTGCCACGCACCACGGGGAAGGATGCGGCCGCCAAGAAGGCCCGCAACTTCGTGACGAAGTGGGATTACTAGTGAGCACGGTGTTCCCTTTCACGTCGGCCCGGAGCAGGACGACAAGAAGTTCCTGCAGCTGGGGAACATCCGCGAGTCCCGCGACGCCGGGAACGAGGAGCTCTTCCGGCGCCTGGGCATGGGTCTGCTGTGCCATTGCGCCGCAGGGTCGCATGTGCATGTAACTGGAAACTCTTGATTGATACTTGCCCTGCCGCTCTCGTTTTTTTTTTTTTGCCTCGCGTGGTGCCCCCAACCTTACCAAAACCGCTGCCGAGGGAGGCTCCCGGCGATGAACCCGCTCTCCAAGCCGTCCAGGGTGTAACCTGCAGCAGGGGCACCTTTCCTCTTAGAATTCGGAAAGAAGTAAAAAGCAAGGAAGCCCCCCTTGAGGGGGGTTTGGGGGGTGAACCCTAAACCCTAAATGAGAATAGTTTGGGTGGTTAGGGTGGGACTACATGCCAACGCAAGCGAGCGGCCCGGGTGCTTTTAGCACCAGCGAGCCTCCCTTCTCTACACCCTAAACCCTAAACCCTAAACCCTAAACCCTAAACCCTAAACCCTAAACCCTAAACCCTAAACCCTAAACCCTGAACCCTGAACCCTGAACCCTGAACCCTAAACCCTAAACCCTAAACCCTAAATCCTAATCCTAAACCCTAAATCCTAAACCTTAAACCCTAAACCCTATACCCTAAACCCTAAACCCTAAACCCCAAACCCTAAACCCTAAACCCTAAACCCTAACCCCCAAGCCCTAAACCCTAACTTTAAACCCTAAACCCTAAACCCTAAACCTTAAGCCCTAATCGGTAGATGATTGCCACCGGCAGTCGGCGCGTCATCAACAACAAGGTCTCGCGGACAAGTTGGTTTTATCAACATTGAGAAGCACAAAACCTAACTCCCAAACCCCTTCCCTTCCCTTCACCCTTTTCCCCCCCCTAAACCCCAGACCCTAAACCCAAAATCCAAAATCCTAAGCCCTAAACCCTACACCCCAAAACCTCAACCCCCGAATCCCCAAAGGAATAACTGGAGCCCGCTTCTGCTCACAGTGTGCCGAGGCTGGCGATGCTCTCAGGACCATGGAGCCGTTCTACCCGCCCCCACCGCTGGAGCCAGCCACGACGCCGTCCCCTCAACGAGGTTTAGGCTTCTGGACGTTAGGGGCTTAGGGTCTTAAGGTTTAGGGTTTAGGGTTAGGCTTTTGTTTGTTTTGTTTGTTTGGCGCTGCCGTCAGAAGTCGGTCTTGGCAGCTCCCAGAAGCTCAGGCCCTCATGAGTCGAGTCGAGACCTTAGGAGGATTAGGGTTTAGGGTTTAGGGCTTAGGGCTGAGGGTTTAGGGTTTAGGGTTTAGGGTTTAGGGTTTAGGGTTTAGGGGTTTGGGGGGATTGGGGGGTTTAGGGGTATGAGGGGCTTTAGTTTAGGGGCTTTAGGGTGTTTAGGGTTTAGGGTTTCGGCTCTTAGCATGTGATCTAGGGGTCGGAATGCTTACGAAAAGAATCCCGATATGGTTCCTATTATATACATGTACCCATGAATAACCCTCCCCCCTCCAAAAACACAAATAACAAACATGAAGGGAAAAACAAAAATAAAAAGAATAACCTTTTGTTAATCATTGAGGCCCCTATATCAGTTGTGGTTGACAGCGGTCAGGCCATGCCCTCTAAACCCGAAAACCCTGAACCCAAAGCCCTAAACCTTGAACCCTGAACCCTGAACCCTGAACCCTAAACCCTAAACCCTGAACCCTAAACCTTGAACCCTGAACCCTACACCCTAAACCCTAAACCTAAGCGAAACCCATGACTATCGCGTGTATATGCGACTCCGTCAGCGAGCCCGCGCCCTTGCCCAGGTCTGTCCAGGTCACCCAACGGCCTGGGCCTCGCTCCGGGGGTTCTCTGCGAAGCCCTACGCCCCTTTAGGGTTTAGGGTTTAGGGTTTAGGGTTTAGGGTTTAGGGTTTAGGGTTTAGGGGTTCATGGGTAGTTGCAAGTAGGGTTCTCAGTATGGTGACGGGAATGTAGGGCTTTTTATAACCCCCTCTCATGAACCCAGCAGTCTGTCTACAGGGTGTAGAAGGGGGTGTGTGGGCTTTTGGGATGTTGGGGTCCGGCACGGAACCAACAACCCAAGTGGGGAACCCAGGAGAGAGAAAGGTTCATGGGTACTTGAAAGTTCGTGGGTTTAGGGTTTAGGGTTTAGGGTTTAGGGTTTAGGGTTTAGGGTTTAGGGTTTTGGGTTTTGGGGTTTGTGGTCAGAAGAATTTCCACCAAACTCGGACAGAACCAGCTACAACTCGAGCTCCCTACTTCTTGTACTGCCAGCTAGAACAACCCATGACCCTCCAAGCAGGGATATCCTGAACGAAAGGCAGGGCAACTATGGTTAGAATTATAACTGAACACAACGGGATAACTAGGTTTAAGTAGGGCCATGGGTTTCCTGTTCAGGGTCCAGGGCTTCGTCCGCACAGCCCTGATCCACCATGGCCTGCCCCTTCTTTAGCTTAAGCCCCAAAGCACGAGCCCTCAACCCCGAAAAGCCTCCGAACCTAGACCCGCAACAGCCCAACCTGAATTCCTAAAGCCTAAACCCTAAACCCTAAAACCCCCAAATTTTGACTTGAGGCTGGCCCCACTGCCGGACGAGTCGCAGCAGGAGGAGAACGAAACAGTAGATAGAGAGGCCCGGGTCCGGCTACTAGAGGGTTTAGGGTTTATGGTTTAGGATTTAGGGTTCAGGGTTTAGGGTTTAGGGTTTAGGGGTTCTTTAGGGTTCTAGGGGTTGTGCGAGGATTCTTCGGGTAGCCCTAAGCTCTCAACCTCTAACCCTCTCGGGTGTGCATTAGGGGTGCTTGGGGGCCCCATCCTCTCAACTAGGCATTGCATCCAGATGCACACCACGTTGCTGTCCCTCCCTTACGCCCAGAACGCCCGAAACCCTAACCCTAACTCCCTTAAGCCCTCCTCCCAAATTGCCAACCCTAACCCCAACCACCCTTAAGCCCTTTCAACCTCTGGAATTCCTAGGAGCCCCGCTAAACTAGGCAGGCCCTCGGGATATCTTATCTTTGCCCCCATTAGGCTTAAGCGGACCATGCAGTCGGAATATTTTTCAGAGGGTGCGAAGGGCCATCCTGACCCTAAGCCCTAAACCCCGAACACCGAGCCCTGAACCCTGAGCCCTGAGCCCTGAGCCCTGAGCCCTGAGCCCTGAACCCTGAACCCTCAACCCTCAACCCTCAACCCTCAACCCTCAACTCTCAACCCTCAATCCTCAACCCTAAAACCTAAACCCTAAACCCTAAACCCTAAACCCTAAACCCTAAAAACCCTAAACCCTAAACCCTCAACCCTCAACCCTCAACCCTCAACCCTCAACCCTCAACCCTCAACCACAACCCCAAAGTCCCCACGAACCCTGCCGAACGCAGCTCCCCAGGCACTGAAGCAGGGCGAGGCAGAGTGCATCCAGGCGCGGAGGATGAAGATTCCTAGACCGGCCTTCGGGTTTGGGGTTTAGGGTTCCCAAGCCCTAAACCCTAAACCCGAAACCCTAAACCCCAAACCCTAAACCCTAAACCCTAAGCCCTAAGGCCTAAACCCTAAACCCTAAACCCTAAGCCCTAAGCCCGAAGCCCTAAGCCCGAAGCCCGAAAGCCCGAAGCCCGAAGCCCTAAGCCCTAAGCCCTAAGCCCTAAGCCCTAAGCCCTAAGCCCGAAGCCCTAAGCCCTAATTAGGGCTTAGGGCTTAAGCCCTAAGCCCTAAGCCCTAAGCCCTAAGCCCTAAACCTAAGCCCAAGTCCCGAAGCCTAACGCGATTCTCAGGCACTGCGGAAGAATTGCCCACTTCCGCTTCTGTCCCTGCGTGTGGACGGCCGACCCCCGACCGAGGCAGAGAAATTTGGGGTGCAGGGGACGGTGCAGTGTTGTAGGACCCGGAGTAGGCCATTGTTTCATTTTTTTTGGGATTGGGGTTCCCTTACTTCCCCTTTTTTTTAGGGTTGGGGGGTTCCCTTGTAATCCCCTTAAAACCAAAAAGGGTGCCCTTTTTTTTGCTCCTGGGTCTAGGTAGGGTATACACTAGGCTGGCCCCTTTGGGATGCCGAAATCTGTTCCTTGTTTGGGTTTCTAAGGGACCCTCTTATATACCCATATGTTTCAAAGGGGTCTAGAGGCCAACCCAGTAGATTATGCAGGTGCTTTTGTTGGGGGGGTCTTTTGGGGCGTTGAGGGGTTTAGGGCTTTCTGGGGTTTAGGAATTATATGGAGTTTTGAGGGTTTTAGGGTTGCTGGTGCACTTAAACGTGGCAAGAGGCCTCAATCCACAGACTCCTCAGCTGCAGCTCGGGGTACGACAGAGCCAGCGTCAGAGCCACAGGCGAAGCCCTAAACCCTGCAGGGTTTGGGTTTAGGGTTTAGGGTTTAGGGTTTAGGGTTTAGGGTTTAGGGTTTAGGGTTTAGGGTTTAGGGTTTAGGGTTTAGGGTTTAGGGTTTAGGGTTTAGGGTTTAGGGTTTAGGGTTTAGGGCTGCCAGGGCTCCAGGGCTCAATCCTACCCAAAAATCCCAAGAAGCCCCCCCCCCCCGCCAGAATCGTCGCACCTTAGGGAACGAAATGGCTCCCCCCTCTCATCACTGAAGTGCACCCCCCACCCCCCCCCCCCCCCTTCCCTTTTGTCATAGTTGGGTACCATTTTGCATTTTTGAGGGTACTTAAACCCCATAAGGATTAGAACTTGGATTTTAATATTATCCCAAACATGATTTCTAAGGGTACTTAAACCCTATAAGGATTAGACATGGAGTTTTCAATATTATCCCAAACATGAACTAGTTCCCCCTCCTGCCCAAACGCGACAGGCTGCAGAGCTCTTAGAGGTGACGACAGGCTTTGGAGCCTGGGAATCTGAAGGGGAAGTGGGGGAGGGTTTAAGGGGCTTTATTGGGTTTAGGGCTTACAGGGTTTCGGGCTTATAGGGTTTAGGGCTCAAAGGGTTTAGTTAGGGTTTGTAGGGTTTAGGGCTTCCGGGTTGGGGAGTCAGGATTTCGGGTCTTGGGGTCGAGAAAAAGGGACGCTCCCCCTTATGCTAACATCTCCTTACTATGGATTCTACTAGGGGGTACTGAAATCCCTATGAAGGCCTGTTAGTAGAAGGGGGAACATCCCAAACCCTACATCCAAGTTCTCCCAGCCCAAGGCAGGCTCAGCTTGCCGAACTCTGTGGCTTACTTGGGTATATGTGGGGGTTTACCAAAAGGGGGGGGGGTACCCGTTTTGGGGGGTTCGTATTATCAGGATTCTACCATTTGGGGGTATATCAAGGGGTACCCCTCTTCGGGGAAATGCCCGTATTAGCGGCTCATGTGTGGAAGGTTCGAGAGGCAGTTCCGTGTTTCCGCGAGTCCCCCCCTCCCCCCCCCCATCTACGCCATCATAACCCTAAACCCTAAACCCTAAACCCTAAACCCTAAACCCTAAACCCTAAACCCTAAACCCTAAACCCTAAACCCTAAACCCTAAACCCGGCACCCGAACCCTGATCCATTATAAGCCCGGCCAAGCAGAGGCCAGGGCATCAACGTAAATGATTTGCGTGCGAGACTCCAGCACTTGGAGGTTCATGGGTAGTTATAAGTGGGGTTTTAATTTTGTGGTAGCTACACTTATATAACCCTGTTTAGCGTACTTACAACCTTGCTTATAACTACCCATGAACCTCCAAGCAAGCCCACATCAAACTTTCCATCGGCAACCCTCAGCCCTAAACCTCTCGAAGGTCCCTCCAGTGGCCTGTGCGTGCCCTTGCCGACACAGATCGAAGGAAAGGGGCGGGTGGGGTCGGTGTTAGCATTTTTTTCTTCTCTTTTTCTTCTCCGGGGTTTTTGTATGAAGTCGCCCATTGACTTTGATGATTGTCGCAGTTGTAGGGTTGAGGGCTTCACCTTTTGGGCATCTCAAGCTTCTGTTCAAGGGGGTCGGCTTGCGGCTTCGGGGATTAAGGTCCCAGAAGCGACAGGCCCCCAGCTTGAAGCCCCAAAAGGGAGCCGCAAAAAGGACCCCGAATCCCAACACCCTCAACACCTCACAGAAGTGAGGGTTCACCCAGCATAGCCCTAAACCTTAAACTTACCCTAACCCTAAACCCTTGGCCCTAAATTCTTCATCAGCCGCACATGCCTCCTGCTTCGGGGTCCCGGCTTTGTGTTGGTGGCTTCGGGTGTGGGGTCTACTTGGAGGTTCATGGATGGTTTAGCTTTTTTTTGCTTTGAAGCTTTAACCAGATGTAGCTGTAGGTACCTTGCCTGTCACCTTCTCATCCGTGCCTGTCCCTAAACCCCAGACCCTGCCCCTAAGCCCCAAAGCCTAATCCTGCTAAGTCTGAGAACCACACAGCCCCATCCCAAACCCTGGAACCCGGAACCCTAACCCTAAACCCTAAACCCTAAACCCTAAACCCTAAACCCTAAACCCTAAACCCTAAACCCTAAACCCTAAACCCTAAACCCTAAACCCTAAACCCTAAACCCTAAATCCGTTGCCAAACAACGTTTGTTGCCCCTCTTGGCAGAATGGCAATTGTCCAGCAGATCCGATCCAACCTTGATTCTTCGCACTCCCAGCCAAATCCGAGCCTTTCTTCGGGGAGTTCGGTGTGGCGTTTGATTGCACCCATTCCCGCAAAGGCTGACAAGAAGCCCGCGGAGAAGAAACCTAAGAGACAGGCAGGGGCGCAGCAGCCGCCGCAGCAGCAGAAGCCAAGCACAGAGGTTGGCACAAACAATGCGAAACCCGAAGCTTGAAACCCTAAACCCTAAACCCTAAACCCTAAACCCTAAACCCTAAACCCTAAACCCTAAACCCTAAACCCTAAACCCTAAACCCTAAACCCTAAACCCTACACCCTAAACCCTAAACCCTAAACCCTAAAACCCTAAAACCCTAAACCCTAATAAACCCTAAAAACCCTAAAAAAAAACCCTAAACACCTAAACCCTAAACCCTAAACCCTAAACCCTAAACCCTAAACCCTAAACCCAAACAGCCCCCTCCCTCCGACGCCAGGCGCAGGGGATGAGCCCAAGGAGCTGCTGCGGCTGAACCTGGAGGCTGGCGTCAAAGGGTCGAGGTTTAGGGTTTAGGGTTTAGGGTTTAGGGTTTAGGGTTTAGGGTTTAGGGTCTGGCTTTCGGGTTTAGCGCTTAGGGTTTCGGGTTTAGGGCCTCACAAACCCTAAACCCCTCTTCTTGCAGGGTTTAGGGCTTAGGGCTCAGGTTTCACTCGAGTCCCTTTGAGGAAGCCTTCTGGGTTCGCTGCTAGGAAGGGTTTTGGCGTTCCAAGATGTCGTCTGGGTTTCGGGTTTGGCGGCTGCTGGCTGAGGGCTTGTAGAGCTTAGGGGTGTGGTCCTGAGACTTTCGGCCCCAACACCCATAGCCCCACATGTTTCAGGAATTTTGGGAATGCTCCTCTACACACCCTAGACGCCTAGACCCAGCCCGGCCCTCTCTGAGAATGAAGCAATGAAGCAAGGATCGGCAGTCAAGCCGGCGCTGGTCTCCGTGGAGGCGTGGGGGGGCGGGGGGGGTTTAGGGTTTAGGGTTCAGGGTTCAGGGTTTAGGGTTTCGGGTTCAGGGTTTAGGGTTTGGGGTTTGGGGTTTGGGAGCCCAGGTGTTTGAGTCTTCATGATTGAGGGCACCAGTAGCGTTCTTTCCGCAGTTTCCACTACGGACTAAGCCGCCAAAGCTGCAGTTCTTAGCAAGGAATTAGTTGAGTTATGCCCCGCCCCATAACCCTTCAAAGTCCAGAGTACTGTACCTATTCCTAGTTCTCCACATACTGAACTCCCTAAACAAACATCTCCGAAGCCGTACTTAGCCCCAAGCACTTCGGGTGTAGGGCATAGGGTGTAGGGTGTAGGGTGTAGGGTGTAGGGTTTAGGGTTTAGGGTTTAGGGTCCAACATCGGTGGTGACTCCCGAAGCCCTAAACAAAGGAAGCCCCAAAGCTGCACAAGCCCTGAACCCCCAATCTCTAAACCCTACATCCCTAAATCCCTAAACCCCGAAGCCCTAAACCCTAAATCCCTAAGCCCTAAACCCTAAACCCCTAAATCCTAAACCCTAAACCCTAGACCCTAAACCCTAAACCTTAAGAAATTTGCTCCCCAGGCTCCACTGCCCGGTTTCACTGCACGAGAAGCGGCTGACGCTCGGGCAAGAGAAGCCCAAACCCTAACCCTGAGGGTCCCATCTGGCTAGGGCTTAGGGTTTAGGGTTTAGGGTTTAGGGTTTAGGGTTTAGGGTTTAGGGTTTAGGGTTTAGGGTTTAGGGTTTAGGGCTTAGGGTTTAGGGTTTAGGGTTTAGGGTTTAGGGCTTAGGGTTCAGGGTTTAGGGTTTAGGGTTTAGGGTTGAGGGTTCAGGGTTTAGGGTTTAGAGTTTAGGGTTTAGGGTTGAGGGGTACCCTTTTTGTGGGTCCCTTTCAGGGGATTCGGTTCTATTTTAGGGTATAACAGTGGTACCCCTATTTTGGGAAACACCCATGCAGGTTCCGCAGGACTAGGACTCTTTCATGTTGTTGAAGTGGATTGAACATGGAAATGTATATTAAAGCGAGTGCTTTTTGAGTGCCGGATCCAAACTCCCCCAAGTTGGAACGGATACCAGATGGCTGGCGGCGGATGTTGGACAACCAGAGCCAGTGCTACTTCTACCTGCACCCGGCCACCAACATCACAACATGGGGTTAAGGCCCAGCCTGTGGCAGGCTTGGCGGCCCTTGCCGTCCCAAGCATTTAAGCTATTCTGCGGCTTCGACGGCAAACCTTAGCATCACAACAGCGGCTCTCCGTTCAAAGGCTTTTCCTTATGCGGTCGCTGCTGTAGCAAGTCGTCATTCACGGAAGGCGGTACGAAACTTTGTTTTGCCGGCCTCTTTCTCAGCAATTTATGACACCCATCTATTTCACAAAAGCAACCTGCAAGATCATCGAAGTCATCATAGCACTGGTAGGAGTCATGACTCACCGTTTTTCCATCATCAACACTCACCATAACCATAGCCACTATCATTATCCCCAACCCTAAGCCCTAAACACTAATCCCCAATCAAACTCTCAACCCTAAACCCTAAACCCTTAGCCCTAAGCCCTTAAACCTGAAACCCTAAACCCTAAACCCCAGTCCCCCTTGTTGGATGTTCTCGGCCTCCGCCCTAGAACAGGTGGGCACGGAAGCATCGGACTTTCGTTTCGGGCAGCGAGTCTTTCCCCCAAACAACCCTAGACCCTAAACCCTAAACCCTGAACCCGAAGCCCTAAACTCCCCCAATCACAAGTCAGGGAAGTCGGAGCCCTATAAAAAACACTAGACCCCCTAGAAACCCATCCCTCAACTCTTGCCTATAGGGTTCTTAAAGGGAGGGTGGTTCAGGGGGGGTATGTAACCCAAGGTTCCAAAAGACTCCCCACTACTCCCTAAGGCTCCCTCAGCTTCCCTAAGGTTCCCCAGGTAGCTAAAACCCGAAACCCCAAACCCGAAACCCGAAACCCGAAACCCGAAACCCGAAACCCGAAACCCGAAACCCGAAACCCGAAACCCTAAACCCTAAACCCTAAACCCTAAACCCTAAACCCTAAACCCTAAACCCTAAACCCTAAACCCTAAACCCTAAACCCTAAACCCCCCCTTGAGAACACCATAACTTGCGTGTGCATCCGAGGACTCCGGGGAGCAGCGAGTTTGCCGTGGACTACTCAGGCATCCCCCGAAAGCCCTTGAAGCCCTTAAGAAAAGCCCTAACTGCCTAAACCCTAAACCTAAACCCTAAACCCTAACCCCTAAACCCTGGATGATTCGGGGCCTGAACATGCAGGGTGCCCAAACGGGACAACCTGTAGAGAACTGCCCTGAAAATGCCCCCTTACAATCACCAGCTTGCGAGCTTGCGAGTTCTTCGCAGGGTTTAGGGTTTAGGTTTGGGTTTTAGGGTTTAGGGTTTAGGGTGTAGGGTTTAGGGTTTAGGGTTTAGGGTTTAGGCGCCTTCTATCCGCTCGTATAACCTTGGAAAGGGGTTATCTTGAGCACGAAATTCACTGCTGGCCTGTAGGTTGGATTCCAGTTCTTCAAATTATGGGCCTTGTTTGGGTGCCCTAAATATTATGGGCCGCCTGAGAATCGTAACACCAGAAAGGACCATAATGTAGAGAAGTGACCATCTGTGGTTTTTGGGTATGCACTAGGTTGGCCTTTGGGATATTAAAATCTACTCCTTGTTTGGGTCTTTTAAAGGGACGCTTTAGTCCACCCCTAAACCCCTAAACCCCCTAAACCCCTAAACCCCCTAAACCCCCTAAACCCCCTAAACCCCTTAAACCCCCTAAACCCCCTAAACCCCCTAAACCCCCTAAACGCCCTAAACCCCCTAAACCCCCTAAACCCCCTGAGCCCCCTAAGCCCCCTAAACCCCCTAAACCCCCTAAACCCCCTAAACCCCCTTAAACCTTAAACCTTAAACCCTAAACCCTAAACCCTAAACCCTAAACCCTAAACCCTAAACCCTAAACCCTAAACCCTAAACCCTAAACCCTAAACCCTAAACCCTAAACCCTAAACATATTTTCCAATGGACCCAAAAGCTGCTCGCCTTATAAACTAGGCCCCTTGATTTTGCAGGCTACGTCTTCCTCTGCGCGGGCGAGGACGGCCTTGGATTTCTTGAGCTTGAGGGGCTTTTAGGGTTTGGGGTTTAGGGTTGGTTTAGGCTTGCACTCGGACTAAGTAGATTGGAGTCTCAGGGTCTCCAGGTTACCCACTCAGGCACTCAACAAGTTCAAGGCCCTGCCTAAACCCCAAACCCCAAACCCCAAACCCCAAACCCTAAACCCTAAACCCTAAACCCTAAACCCTAAACCCTAAACCCTAAACCCTCAACGCTAAACCCTAAACCCTAAACCCAAAACTCTAAACCCTAAACCCTAAACCCTAAACCCTAAACCCTAAACCCTAAGCCCTAAACCCTAAACCCTCAACCCTCAACCCTAAACCCTAGACTCACAGGTTTTAGGGTTTGGGGCTTGCCGGAGCTGAGGAGCAGATGAGGCGCTTTTGCCAGTGGCCTAAGCGCTTCCTGATCGAGGCCCCAGTTGAAAGTTTAGGGTTTAGGGTCCGGTTCAAAAGTTAGGGGTTGAGGGAGGGCTTCGGGGGGAGGGGTGGGGAACTTGCCTCAACCATTTGATGGGTGTTTGCACCCCGGTGTAAACGGCTTGGGAGTTGTAGAAGTTTGTGGACCCAGGGCGGGAGGCATGGAGGTCCCTCCCCTCCTGCTCTCTCTCTCTCTCTCGCTCTCTCTTTCCTTCCTCTCCCTCTTGGTTGCTCTTTCTGCTCTTTCATCTTCAGAGCGCCACACCTCCGATGGTTAGGGTTCAATGGCTCCGGCTCTGGTCCAGTGGTGACTCTGCGACTGAGCTGCGGGTACTGCCACTGCAAACCAGAACAGCAAGAGACGGGGGCGTGGGTTTCAGGGGTTTTGGGTTTACTTGTGGAGGCTCGTGGGTATTTCAAAGTAGGGTCAAAAGTTATGCTTGATTTTACCTTGTATCCCTACGGCCCTACTTACCAAGCAGGTTTTCTTGCTCCACGATGATAGGACATGCGGCCAGTGCTGGTGCATTGCCACAGCTTGTAGCAGGACCCATTTTGAACAGCTGCTATATCCTAAACCCCAAAGCCTGGCAAGGCCCCGGCGTTCCCCTCTGAAGATTTCCGAAGAAGGGATATGCAAGGGGTACCCTAGCGGGGTATACGGAAACAGCCAATGCTCCTTTGCCAGGCTCCTCGGATCAATGCCCCAGGCATCCGTGAGGGTTTTGGGGTGTAGGGCAGAAGCTCTTGAATCCGAGAAGGAAACTTCCAAACTCTGAGCCCTGAACCCAACCCAAACCCCAAACCCTAAACCCTAAACAGCTTCCAGGCCAAGAGGGGTCTGGGGCTTTTGAAGTTCAACCGGAACCCGAAACTGCGGTTTAGGGTTTAGGGTTTAGGGTTAGGGTTTAGGGTTTAGGGTTTAGGGTTTAGGGCCTAGGTATTCAGGTCTCCTGCGTATGATGCACCTCCCTAAGCCCCTTAAACCCGACACCTGCAACCTTTCCGGTTACAAAAAGACTGGCAGCATGGGGGCTGTCTTATGGGGGTTTAGGGTTTAGGGTTTAGGGTTTAGGGTTTAGGGTTTAGGGTTTAGGGTTTAGGGTTTAGGGTTTAGGGTTTGAGGTACGGGTTCGGGGTACTGCGCAGTGGCACTGGAGCTGAGAGAGGTGGAGCGGTAGGCCTACAAACTGTTCCGGCCAGCGCTTGTGGCCTTGCATACACGTCAGGGTCGCTGTACATTCCAATACACTTTCATTGTCTTATGCGATGTTGCGCTACCGCTCTGTTGCGCTACCGCGCTGTTATGCTGTGTTGCGTTATGTCAGGTTCTGATATTCCATGTCAATGTTCATGTTCATGTTTTTTGGGTTACGTCTGTGTCTATACTATGTCATGGTATTGAAGCATGTCATGTTTGGTTACGCTGTGTTTTGTTTTGCGGCATTCTGCTATGTGTTGTCATGCTATGTATCGTATGTTATGCTGTGTTTCTTACGTCGTTGTACGTTTTGTTATGTTTTGTTCTGTTCTGTTGTGTTGTGCTATGCAATTTTCTGCCAAATCTTGTGTTGTTCATGTCAGAAAAGCACCTTCCTCCGTCGGGCTTGCAGGGCTCGGACCCATGCGAATGAAGCTCCGCAGCAGTGCAGGTTCAGCTGTAGCATTCCGGGAGTCGTGGGGCGAATCATGTGGTGGAAGCTGGCTCTAGTTGCTTCGGCGCTGCCGGCCACCCTTCTCCAAGGCTGCTTCAGTTGCGACGAGAAGGCCCTCGCAGATTGCCTGGGAGCCACGAGCCTTTCGTGCGTGCAAATCCAGGCCAGGAATGACTGCATCAGCCGATACCTCTGCTGCTTGGTAGCCCAGTGGTGCCCCTTTCCCTTTTTTTGGTTCAAGGTCCCCTTATCTGACTGGCTCAAAACCCAACTTTTCAACTTTTGGGCTTCTTATAAGGTAGTTTATTCTGAAAGTTTCAACTTTTATTTCCTTTGGTTTTGGGCCAGGAAGTTATAACAGTGACCACAACCCCAAAACACAGGGTGCCCTGATGATAGTATGGTTATGGGGAACCAAGGCTGTGACGTCGAAACGACCAAACACGGAGTGACCATGCCCTACAGGGACTACGCGCAGCAGCAGGTGAACGAGTACCTGTTTCGGTGCAACGACTTGCACAACAAGTGCAACTAATTCGGGACCACACAACATACACTTGGGAGTTGACTCGAACATAAGGGACCCCAAATGTAGACTCCATAGCCTCCGAAATAGTAGGATTCCCCCTATATCAAGGATCATCGTAAGGTACCCCTCAATATCGTCAACCCCCCCGAATCTGATGATGCTGATGCTGGCCAGCTCGCGCCGGCTGTCCTTGCTTCTGGGACAGCAGTTTCAAGTTTCACGGTTGCCGCTGTCTCACTTGGCACTTGGCACACAAATCAGTGAGCGAGGCAAAAAAAACGGCAGCCTTGCGCTGCTTATGTGCGTTGGTCTTGATCAAGCCCTAAACCCTAAACCCGAAATCCTAAACCCTAAGCCCGAAACCCTAAACCCGAAACCCTAAACCCTAAACCCTAAGCCCTAAACTCTAAATCGCCAGGCCTCGCGCTGGGCTTTGGGCTCCTGGGCCCATGCGGCTACCGCGTGGCAGAGCTGGCAAAGCGGGCACAAGGCCCAGGGCTCCCTAAAACCCTAAACCCTAAACCCTAAACCCTAAACCCTAAACCCTAAACCCTAAACCCTAAACCCTAAACCCTAAACCCTAAACCCTAAACCCTAAACCCTAAACCCTAAACCCTAAGCCCTAAGCCCTAAGCCCTGAACCCTAAACCTTCCCTGTCCTACATTATTTATATATATATATATGTATGTATGTATATGGTAATGTGCATATATATATATATATATATATATATATATATATATGTGTGTGTGCTTTTTTGTTTTTTCAAATTCGTTTGTTTATTAAACCCCTATTGGAGTGTCGGTCAATCGATGACAGGTGTTGTTCAAGGCTCCGGTCAATCGGCACCAGTGTTGCTCAACTTTCGGTCAGTCGGCACCAGTGTTGCTCAAATGTCGGTCAATCGGCACCGGTGTTGTTCAAATTTGGGTCCATCGGTTCTGGGTCTGATGTTGTGCATGTTGCACATATAAAAAATGACGTGGAACTATAACTTTCTGAATGTTCTGGGATTCTCGGGGTGGATGGGTGGGTGGGTGGGTATTTTCCTGATACACGAGTGCAACTGCCGGCCTCGTGAATGCTTGGACTTGAGATGCTGAACCCTAAACACTAAACCCTAAACCCTAAACCCTAAGCCCTAAGCCCTAAGCCCTAAGCCCTAAGCCCTAAACCCTAAACCCTAAACCCTACACCGTAACAACCTAAACCCTCAACCCAACCTGGAGATGTATTTCTGGGCTCCTAAAAAGGAATACTGCAGGTCTTGCGTATTATCCGTAGTTGTACAAGAGATATTGGCGCATCTCGGGTTTTAGGGTTGGGGGGGGGGGGGGGGGGGGGGTTTAAGGCGTATGGAAACGAGAGCTTAAAACACTTAACTCTGGAGTCAGCGTTTTGGTAGTTCTTAGTGTTTGGTAGTTCTGGGGTTGTTCAACCCCCCTCTGAAGTGAACCAGCTCGATTTCCGTCTCAGCCCCATTTTTTGAAGCCTAAACCCTAAACCCTTAAACCCTTAAACCCTCAACCCTGAACCCTGAACCCTGAACCCTGAACCCTGAACCCTCAACCCTGAACCCTGAACCCTCAACCCTGAACCCTGAACCCTGAACCCTCAACCCCCTGAACCCTGAACCCTGAACCCTGAACCCTGAACCCTGAACCCCTGAACCCGAAACCCTAAACCCTAAACTCTAAACCCTAAACCCTAAACCGTAAGCACCACAAACCACGCCTCCAGGCAGCTACGACTTTGACATCGTGGACCTGGTGTCGCTCCTCGAGCGGGCCATGAAGTACCTCGGTGTTTGAAAGGTATAAAAGTTAAAGGGGGCTTAGGGTTTAGGGTTTAGGGTGTGGGGTTCAGGGTTTGGGGTCTGGGGTTTCGGGTTTTGCTCCTGAAGTCCTGTGCAGTGATTGGTTCAGGGCCGGTGTCGATGACCGGTGCAGAAATTGGGGAGAATGGCCGACCTCAGCGAAGATGCCCCCAGAACAACCGTAAGCTCTTTGGTTGGTTCAGGGTTTAGGGTTGAGGGCTACAGCAACCCCTCTCCCTCCCCCCTCCCTCCCTCCCCCCTCCCCCCTCCCCCTCCCTCCCCCCTCCCCCCCATCCCTCCCCCCTCCCTCCCCCTCCCTCCCCCCCCCCCTCCCTCCCCCGTCCCTCCCCCCTCCCTCCCCCCTCCCTCCCCCCCCTCCCCCCCCCTCCCCCCCTCCTCCCCTCCCTCCCCCTCCCCCCCCCCCCTCCCTCCCCTCCCTCCCTCCCCCTCCCCTCCCCCTCCCCCCTTCCCGTGAGAGCTTGGGGCTGTTTATGGCTGTCTCGGGTTTATGTATGTCTAGGGTTGACGGCGAAGGGTGTTTAGGGTTCAATTGGGGTGCTTCGGGGCCTAGCATGCTTTGGCGGTTAAGTTTGGGTACTCCCACAATTTCCCTGTAGCGGTCATGTTCTCTCAGGACTTCTTAGGGCTTAGGGTAGGGAAAGTACAAGAATGGTTTGGGCGAACTGTTTTTGAGGTGGAGGGAAGGGCGTATCCAAGGTTTAGGGCTATAGGGATTTGAACCCTAAACCCTAAACCCTAAACCCTACACCCTAAACCCTAAACCCTAAACCCTAAACCCTAAACCCTAAACCCTAAACCCTAAACCCTAAACCCTAAACCCTAAACCCTAAACCCTAAACCCCTAAACCCCTAAACCCTATACCCTATACCCTATACCCTAAACCCTAAACCCGAAACCCTAAACGCAAGGTCGTCTACAGTGTTGGTTGTGAGCACTGCGTAGCAGAGGAGTGCACAGCTTCGTCGCACAGAAATGGATGTGCGCTGCCGGCACGAGGTTGCAAAGTACCACGTAAGGGCCCCCCCCCCCCCCCCATCTAAGGGGCCGCCTCGCCGTGAGGGTTTATCGTTTAGGATTTAGGGTTTAGGGTTTAGGGCCTTGGGTTTCGCATCTCCTGTGGTTCGTGGCAAGTTTCGGGTTCAGGGTCAACCCCGGACTCTTTCTCGAGGCAGCCGCCAATGCCAGAGCCCCCATTCCCTCAGGGGGAGGACGAGGCAGGGCCCATGTACCTTAAAGATTGGCTGGTTCTTAGGGAATGAGGGAATTCGGGCCGTACAGAATCCCTCAAACTGTATATAGAGCCCTCATTCCCTCATTCCCTACTAAGAAGCAGGGAGAAGAAAAGGAGGGAAGTATACAAACAGGCCAAAGGTACCTACTTCCCTTTTTTCGAAGGGTTTAGGGTTTAGGGTTTAGGGTTTAGGGTTCTTTGGGTTACTCTACGTTGCTTACGTAAGGCTCGTAGGGCTTCGTGAGTCGGCGGAGCAACCCTGTCTGGAAGCCATCCCACGTCACTCCTCGGCTTTGTCTGGGGTTTAGGGTTTAGGGTTTAGGGTTTAGGGTTTAGGGTTTAGGGTGTAGGGTTTAGGGTTTAGGGTTTGGGGTTCCGGTTCTTTCAGTTCCTTCTCACTTGGCCGTGACTTGCCCGCCGACATAGGCCACAGAGCATTCTCCTGAGCAGCTCTCCTGCATGGGATGTGCGGGTTGCTGTTAAAGCTGCACTACCTCCCATGGCCTTTGCTAAGTTGTACGGTCGCTGGGACGTTTCGGGTGGCAGGGCTTCTGAAGGGCACTATTTCGCCTACAGCCGTCTCCTGGAATTCCGGGTGGTTTGCTAGTTTTGCACGCAGGTTTTTTTTTTTTTGTGCGAAGCTGGTGGTTCAGTAGGACTTGTACACATCTCTAGGCCCTGCAATTAGAGGGCTTTCAGATTCATAGGGCTTGGAGGCGGAAAGGGTCCAATAGAGTTCGGGCTTCTCACCGAAAGCCCCTGAAATCTAAGCTTCAAATCCTACGACCCTCATCCCTCAAAACCTCAGGCCTTCATCCCTCAAGACATCTTAAAACCCTAGAGCCCCTCACCCCCCAGATTCCGCAAAGTCATCAAAAACCTGTCTGTGCCCACCCAAACTCCCCCAAACGAAAAACCCGAAACCCGAAACCCTAAACCCCAAACCCTAAACCCTAAACCCCAAACCCTAAACCCTAAACCCTAAACCCTAAACCCTAAACCCTAAACCCTAAACCCTAAACCCTAAACCCTAACCTCCCCCAAATGAAACACCTGCCCTAAATCCCGTTCCTCACAGGCCGAGTTGCCTCCAATGCCGGCACCCGGAGCCCCTCGTGCTGCCCTATGTGGCTATCGTCATTGGGTTTAGGGTTTAGGGTTTAGGGTTTAGGGTTCAGGGTTCAGGGTTAGGTTTTAGGGTTTAGGGTTTAGGGTTTTACGATATTAGGGTACCTTATTGGGGTTCTTAGTTATAAGTGAATCCTACTATTTGTGGGTCTGTTTTAGGGCCACCTATTTTCGTAATCCGCCATATTAGGCATCATATTCGTATGAATCATCGTACTTGTCAGTAGTAGTATGAATGGTACTAGCATTAATACAAATAGTAGTATTCATGAGTGTTAATCTTCATATGAGTAGTTTAGGGTTTAGGGTTTAGGGTTTAGGGGTTAGGGGTTTAGGGGTTTAGGGTTTAGGGTTTAGGGGTTTAGGGTCAGGTGTCCACGGCCCTACCCTCATGTCCGAGGCCTTCAAGGCAGAGACCGGGACCCCCCAAAATCAAAGCACCTTTGGGGGTTGGGTCCTGAAGTCCGAGCCCGTTGAAGCCCTGGAATTTTACATGTTACCCTAAACCCTAAACCCTAAACCCTAAACCCTAAACCCTAAACCCTAAACCCTAAACCCTAAACCCTAAACCCTAAACCCTAAACCCTAAACCCTGAACTTGCTCAAGACATCAAGCAGCCTGCCGGCTGCAAAGCCAAGGAGCCTTACCTGTCGCTTGCAGAGCGCACGGAGGCCCTCCAAGGCTGGAACAGGTTAAGGGTTTAGGGTTTGGGGTTTAGGGTTTAGGGTTTGGGGTTTAGGGTATAGGGTTTAGGGTTTAGGGTTAGGGTTTAGGGTTCGGGGTTTAGGGTTTGGGGTTTAGGGTTTAGGGTTGAGGGCTCAGGAGGGCTTTGTTCTTGCACTCTAGAAATCCTGCGTCCGATTTGCTCAAGGCCGGTGTCGATGACGGGTGCAGAAGTTAGGGAGAATGGCCGACAGAGCGAAGATGCCCCCGAAGCAGCCGTAAGCTCTTTGGTTTAGGGTTTAGGGTTTAGGGTTTAGGGTTTAAGGTTTACGGTTTACGGTTTAGGGTTCAGGGCAAAACTCCCCCTCCCGGCTGAGGGCTGCTTAGGGTTCAGCATTTGGGGGGTGAGGGCTGTTTGCAGCTGTTTTGGGTTTGGAGTTTCCTGAGGGCTTGGGGCTGTTTACGGCTGTCGATTATGGGTTTCCTTGTGCTACCCCCAAATGTAAGGAAGCCCCCCCCCCCCCCCCCCCCCCCCCCCCAGACACCCAACCCCCTCAACTTCCCCCCTAAACCCCCAAAGCCCTCACCCTTCTTTCCTGGAGTTGTGCGCAGGCAAGCCCTTGGGTTTGGGCACGTGTCTAAGACTCATCGGCTGGGCGCTGGGCATTGAGAAGTGCTTTGGTCTGCAAGATTGACTGGGTAGGCCCTTGGTATATTTTTATCTTTTCCCTTGATTGAAGGGGTTTAGGGTTTAGGGTTATCACATTAGGACTGTGTTTCAGAGGGTTGTAATCTGTAAGGGTTAGCCTAGCTGATGTTTGAAACTTCAGGTGTCAGGGTTGTGCACTTTTGCGAGGGTGTCGGGTATCACACAGGGTTTAGGGTTTAGGGGAAGCAGACCGCAAATGTCAAAGATTCCACACTCGGGCACGAGAAATACTGTGTGTGGTGCGGGCTTTGGGGTCAGGATGGTCTAGGGAAATTCCACACCCGAACGCACGCACAGCTTTAGCTATGTATTAATCGGCTTCTCTCACTTCTCTTGCGCATTTTCCATAAGGCCTCTCAACCCTCAACTCTAGGCGCTAACCCTCTAGCAATCCACCCTAAACCCTAAACCCTAAACCCTCAATTTTCACAAGCCCTCCACCCAGCAGTTTTGTCATGGTGCTTGCCTTCCAGGAATATCTCCCTGATCCAGGAACAGGCCATGGGGTGTCGGGTGTTCACTTGCGGTTCTTATGGTTTCCGAAATTAGGGGTACCCTAATGGGGTCCTTTTGACAAGGGAATCCTACTATTTGGGAGTCTATGTTAGGGGTCCCCAATTTTCATCAACCCGATCAGTTCCGTCCTTCCATACCTACCAGAGAGTAAGGGTTCAAGTGTCAGGCTAATGGGTTGCGGGGCTTAAGGTTTGAGCCCTAAACCCGAAACCCTAAACCCGAAACCCGAAACCCGAAACCCGAAACCCTAAACCCTAAACCTAAACCCTAAGCCCTAAACCTTAACCCTAAACCCTAAACCCCAAACCCTAAACCCCAAACTGCGGGCCTCAGCAGAATGTCTGAAGCACCCGCCCCAAAGCCCAAGGCTCCCCAGAACCTCCGCCCTGAAGCCCGAGAGCCCCCAACTTACTAGCTGAGAGGAGAACCTTCAACCTTTCAGGGTTTTTAGGGTTTTTAGGGTTTTTTAGGGTTTTAGGGGTTTTTAGGGTTTTTAGGGTTTTTAGGGTGTTTAGGGTTTTTAGGGTTTTTTGGGTTTAGGGTTTATGGTTACAATCCTACCAGAATTTTGAAAGGTTAACCTTGTTTGGGCCAGGCCCCTCCGCAACTGGGCGAAAGCCCCGAATCCCTAAAACCCTAAACGCCCGAAGCCCTCAGCCAGAAATCCTAGAGGTCGATATAGGGGCCTACGAAAATAGGGGACCCCTAATACAGACCCCAAATAGTAGGATTTCCTTGTTCGAAGCTCGGTGGCCTGGGAATCTGGGCTCAACAAAGCAACCTGCCAAAGTTGATCTAGGGTTTAGGGTTTAGGTTTAGGGTTTGCGGTTTCCCCAAAGAGCCAAGCCCCAGCGGCCCCCACCTGAACTTTCCTAAGCCCGAAGCCCTAAATCTGGCAGGGTTTAGGGTTTAGGGTTTATAGGGTTTAGGGTTTTTTCGGGTTCAGGGTTTAGGGTTTAGGGTTTCAAGCGTTGCCCTGAACCCAAGAATCCTCAAACCCAGCCCCTACAGAGCGTTCCAGGCGCGAGCGTTGGAGGAAGCGAAGAAGGTCCTGGAGGCTTTCCCTAAACCCTAAACCCTAAACCCTAAACCCTAAACCCTAAACCCTAAACCCTAAACCCTAAACCCTGAACCCTGAACCCTGAACCCTAAACCCTAAACCCCAAACCCTAAGCCCTAAACCCTCAACCGTCCTCAAAATCATGGCGCCCCCCTCCTTTTGGGTGCCCTAAGTATCAGGGGCCGCCTGATATTTGCGACCGCAAGAGGGGCCACTCACCACATACCCTTCATCAAAGGGGGAAGTGGGCCCAATAGTTCGGGCAGCACGGTCCTTCTTTCTCTGAAGCACCCCACAAAGGCTCACAGAGGGGCCGTTAGAGAACTGACCCATCTACGGCTTCATCATCAGGTTTTTTCCCCTTGTTGACATGGGTCTAGAGGCGGTTCCAGGCAAGCTGAAAGACTCTTCACTCCCTCTGCCTCACCAAGCCCGGCGCCATTCTTGCCTCCTTCCCGGGACGTCGGGGGGAATGGGTGCACGCTGAGAGCCTGAAAGCCCCCCCCAAAACCCGAAGTCTGGTGCCCCTAACACACAGCTCGACATCCCAGAAGCATCTCTAGGTAGAATTTTGGGGGCATTTTGTGTTTTAACTTATTGAGTTTAAGAGAATCCTACTCAGGAATATGTTTCAGAGGGTTTTCTGGGCCATCCTAGATCTATTCACCACCTGCAGCTCGCGTCGCTCTCCCCCCCACCTCTCTCAAGAAACAAGCAACTCTGCGTCGCCTGGCATATTTGGACCTATGACTCCACAGCCAAAGTCGATCTAAGAGTCCTAAATCCTCAGCCCTAAACCCTAAATCCCTCAAACCCTAAACCCTAAACCCTAAAACCTATACCCAGAACCCACGATCCAACGAGTTCTTTTGTCCTTACTCCTGGCTCTCGAGGAGGCGCAGGCGGCTGGCAACGACCCGCCCGAAGACATCACGCCTCCCAGATGCGATCCAAGAGGGTTCAGGGTTTAGGGTTTAGGGTTGAGGGTTTAGGGTTTGGGGTTTAGTGTTTAGGGTTTAGGATTTAGGCCCCACTTTGAGGACTTGGGGACAATCTTGAGGACTTGGGGACAATCTTGAAGACAAAAGCCCTCGATCCTAACTACAGCCTCAGGGTTTCGTTTTCCTGAAATACAAAACCCAAGAATATTGAGAATCGGTTCGGGCTCTTTTATGCTTCTAAGAAGCCGTGAACCCTAAATCCCGGACCGCCGCCAAGCCTTGTTGCGTAGTAAGTTTGGAGACTTCGCACGTGCAGAAGGTGCTTGAGAAGTTTGGGTGTTGTGAGGCAAGCCCCGTGTGAGCAAAGTTTGCCACTCAAATGCATCCGAGGCTGGACGATGAAGGCCCGGACAGAGTTTCTTTTTCTTTGGAGGGTGGGGGGAATGGCCCTGGTCTAAACCCTAAACCCTAAACTGGAGGGGCTTGGGGTTTTAGGAGGCGAGAGACCTCGGTGACATCCTAAGTTTAGGGTTTAAGGTCGCAGGATGAGACGAAGGGTTCCGGGTTCAGGCTTTGGGGTTTAGGGTTTAGGGTTCCCTGAAAGCCTCGAAGGAACAGGTAGAGAAGAAGTGCTTGGTTGAGAGGTCGCACATGATGGATCAGCACGTGGAGCTTCCATGGGCGGGGGGTGGGTGGGGGATATTAAATAGCCCTACTTGTGGCTACCCAGGGTGCAGGCAGGATGCTACTTCCTGTCGCTGTCGGGCCTCTTACACATGGGGGTTGGTCTAAAGGTCTTTCGTGGGACGTTGTTTAGGGGATGGGCTTATGAGGGAAGTGCAGGGCTATTTGGGCAACAGCCTAAACCCTCAGCCCTAAGCCACCAGCCTTGAGGGCGAGCCTAAACCCTAAACCCTAAACCCTAAACCCTAAACCCTAAACCCTAAACCCTAAACCCTAAACCCTAAACCCTAAACCCTAAACCCTAAACCCAAAACCCCATACCCTATACCCTAAACCCGAAACCCGAAACCCTAAACCCGAAACCCTAAACCCTAAACCCTAAACCCTAAACCCTAAACCCTAAACCCTAAACCCTAACCCTAAACCCTAAACCCGAAACCCGAAACCCGAAACCCTAAACCCTAAACCCTAAACCCTAAACCCTAAACCCTAAACCCCAAACCCTAAACCCTAAACTCCTGCAAAGGAGCCGCCACAGGGCCTCTGCATACTCTCCACGAAGCCTAAACTGCGAAACCCCTCAACTCGTCACCTTAAGCCCGACACCCGACAGTTGGGTAGTTGGGTAGTTCAGGCTTCAGGGTTTGTAGGGTTTAGGGTTTAGGGTTGAGGGTTTAGGGTTTAGGGTTTGGGGTTTAGGGTTTAGGGTTTAGGGTTCCCAGAGACTCCACTCCCTTGACCCTTGGAGGTTTCGAGCTTCATGGGTAGTTGGGTAGTTAAATCTGGTTTTTGAAGTAGGGCGGCTGTGGCTATAACCTTTGCGTGTGGTATAACATTACCATTTTTTGTGGCACACAATAGCTCGCCTTCCCACACCCTAAACCCCTAAACCCCTAAACCCCTAAACCCCTAAAACCCCTAAACCCCTAAACCCCTAAACCCCTAAACCCCTAAACCCCTAAACCCCTAAACCCCTAAACCCCTAAACCCCTAAACCCCTAAACCCCTAAACCCCTAAACCCCTAAACCCCTAAACCCCTAAACCCCTAAACACCTAAACCCCTAAACCCCTAAACCCCTAAACCCCTAAACCCCTAAACCCCTAAACCCCTAAACCCCTAAACCCCTAAACCCCTAAAAACCCCTAAACCCCTAAACCCCTAAACCCCTAAACCCCTAAACCCCTAAACCCCTAAAACCCTAAACCCCTAAAACCCTAAACCCCTCAACCCCTAAACCCTAAACCCTAAACCCTAAACCCTAAACCCTACAAACCCTAAGCCTTCAAGTGACCGGCCCAAAAGGCCAACCGGTGATAGCCCTCAGCGAGCCGCTGCACAAGCCCTCCAAAGGCTTTATCCTGCAGGCGGGTTTAGGGTTTAGGGTTTAGGGGTTTAGGGGTTTAGGGTTTAGGGGTTTAGGGGTTTAGGGTTGAGGGTTGAGGGTTTAGGGTTTGGGGTTTAGGGTTTAGGGTTTAGGGTGTATACATCTCTGGTGCTTCAGCATAGTTTGTTGTGCATGTTCTGTGCTCTATGTGGGAGCCGTGCAGCATTGCATAGTGCGTCGTGCAGCCTGGTGCCTCTGGTTACAACTTGCCATGTAAGTGCCCAACACAGACCGCTGCTCCAGACGCAGCCTGGTGGCTGACTTTCTCAAAAAGATCTCTGCAGCACCGCACGGCCAAGGGTGTGCACATCATGTTCTTGGGCAGTTGATTTGTTGGTGTGCAGGGAGCTCTTCACGGCCCGTGGCTGGGGGTGAGCAGCCACGAGCTCTAAAGCTCAGCAGCCGCCTAAGTGCCTTGTCGTGGCGCACGCAGCACATTTTGGGTTCTGGAAGCCCGGGGATTGCACTCCTTCGGGATTCGGGCCATGCTTGGTTCGGAGGCCATGCTTGGTTCGGAGGATGAGATCATTGGCGCTATGGTGGTGGACTTGGGGGGGCAGAAGTCGGCTCGTGACATCGATGGCTTTGCAGGCCACTGTCGCACGGCTCACAGGCTCGCGTTCTGCCTTCCCCCAGCTGCTAGATGGCCGGGGCGGCTAGGACTGCCGGAGCCTAAGCCCTACACCCTACACACCCTACACACCCTACACACCCTACACACCCTACACACCCTACACACCCTACACACCCTACACACCCTACACACCCTGCACACCCTGCACACCCTGCACACCCTACACACCCTACACACCCTACACACCCTACACACCCTACACACCCTACACACCCTACACACCCTACACACCCTACACACCCTACACACCCTACACACCCTACACACCCTACACACCCTACACACCCTACACACCCTACACACCCAACACACCCTACACTACACACCCTACACACCCTACACGCCCTACACACCCTACACACCCTACACACCCTACACACCCTGCACACCCTGCACACCCTACACACCCTACACACCCTACACACCCTACACACCCTACACACCCTACACACCCTACACACCCTACACACCCTACACACCCTACACACCCTACACACCCTACACCCTAAACCCCAAACCCCAAACCCTAGACCCTAAACTCTACTTGACTGGCTGGTTCTTAGTAAGGGTTGACGGTTCATGGGCCTTGTAAGTGGCGTTGTGAGTACCCCGAATAGGGTTCTCACCATAGATACCCTACTTCCGACCCTACTTATATGTACACATGAACCTCCAAGTTAGCCTTTAGAATAACCTGGGAGTGTTTGGGGCCTCGGTGCTTCGTTAATGTGTCAATTTAGAGGCCTGGGCTACATATGGACCCTAAACCCTAAACCCTAAACCCCAAACCCTAAGTCCTAGACACCCTAAACCCCAAACCCCAAACCCTAAAACCTAAACCCCAAACCCCAAACCCAACCCTAAACCCGAAACCCTAAACCCCAAACCCCAAACCCCAAACCCTAAACCCTAAACCCTAAACCCTAAACCCTAAACCCTAAAGCCTAAACCCTGCCCGAGGGATTTCCCGAGTCGGTGGAGCAGTGTGAAGCTCTGGAGAAGCAGCTGGGCCTGACCTTGGAGCAGGCGGGCTTCATGTTTGGGGTTTAGGGTTTAGGGTTTCTAGGGTTTCTTGGGTTTAGGGTTTAGGGTTTAGGTTTTGAGGTTTCGGGTTTAGGGTTTTGGGTTTGGGGTTTGGGTTTTAGGGTTTAGGGCCTAGGGCCTGACCTTGGGGCAGGCGGGTTTAGGGTTTGGGTGTACTACGGGGGTCGGAATAATTACCAATTCCATTCCCTTATGGGCCCTTTAGAATCATACTAGAAGAAACGCCCAAAACCCTATTCTAATCATTAAGGCGCCTATGTTAGGTTTCAAGGGCCTGATCTTGAAGCAGGCGGTCAGGGTTTGGGTGTAGGGCTTCCGGCTTTTCGACGCGCTTTTTGGGACCTAAACCCTAAACCCTAAACCCTAAACCCTAAACCCTAAACCCTAAACCCTAAACCCTAAACCCCTAAACCCTAAACCCTAAACCCTAAACCCTAAACCCTAAACCCTAAGCCCTATTATTATTATTGGGGTGGGCGGGGGGGTTCGGGCTTGGAGTTTAGGGTTTCGGATTTAGGGCTTCGGGTGTAGGGTGCCGAAGTTAGGAGTATGCCTTTAACTGCAGAGGGGTCTAAACTTATGAGCTAAGGCAAATTCCTCAATTCAGCTATATCCCGGTTTTCCTCAGTTGCGGGCCTTTAGGATTCAGGTTTGAGGATGTTTGGGCGCCTACCCCCCGGACCTTAAACCCTGCACCCCAAACCCCCAAGACCCTAAAACCCTAAAAGCCTAAAACCCTAAAGCCCTATAACCCTGAAACCCTGAACCCTAAACCCTAAACCCTAAAACCCTGACCCTAAACCCTAAACCCTAAACCCTAAACCCTAAACCCTAAACCCTAAACCCTAAACCCTAAACCCTACACCCTCAACTTTAAACCCGTCTGGGGCCAGGTCTTGGTGTTGAAGCCCGGGGGCGAGGAGGCGCCCGACGTGGCCGAAACTCTGACCAAGCAAGGCGGGTGGGGGCTTTCTTCGGGAGCTTTAAACCCCCTGAAACCCCCGAAGCTTCCAAAAACCTCAGCACCCTAAACTTCCCCAAAATGGGCCTAAGCCTCTTAAACCCCCAAAGCCGCCTAAACCCACACCCCCCCCTCCCCTAGCCCGGAACCCCATCGGGTTTAGGGCTTTAGGCTTTCGGGGAGGGATTGATGCATTTAGGGGTAGGGCTTTGGGTCTTTCGGGTTCAGTATTGCAGGGTACGGTCGACGTTTCGTTGGGGTTGGGGTCCAGGCTTTCTTGTCTGCATCTTCTAGGATGCCCAGTAGTACCCTTATTCCCTTTTTGGGGGGTTTAGGTTCCCTTATAGTCCCCTTTAAGCAAAAAAGGGCACCCTTTTTAAGCCTTGGTTACTGGGCAGCCTAGTCTTAAGTCTTCCGACGGAGGGAGTGCAGGGTTTGCCAGGCCTTGTGTGTGCGCCCTGCTTCGGGTACTGCAATGTGGGTTCCAGGCTCCGCAACGGACATGGCTATGACCGAATACGGCACTTCACTGTGCACATCAGCAGAATGCGGTTTAGGGTTTAGGGTTTAGGGTTTAGGGTTTAGGGTTTAGGGTTTAGGGTTTAGGGTTTAGGTTTAGGGGTTAGGGTTTAGGGTTTAGGGTTTTGGGTTTAGGGTTTAGGGTTTAGGGTTTAGGGTTTAGGGTTTAGGGTTTAGGGTTCGGGAATCCAGGCTCGATCAGTCTCTAGAAGGAAACCGACGAAACCCATTGAAAATTGTTTCGGGCCCCTTGCAGAGGTTTGGGCTAAGGACTCTTTGCCCTTTAGTCGGGGTTTAGTAGGGTGTTTCTTGGGGTCGAGTCCTGGTGCATTTCAAAAGAAGGGGCTTCACCGAGGGCTTTAGGGTTTAGGGTTCAGGGTTTAGGGACGTAGCATTCCAAAAGGGCGTTGAGTCCTTTGTAAGCGCGGCAGACGACCCTGCCCGGCCCGCGCAGATCAGTGCTTAGACTGCCCGTGACACCCTGTGTGCAGCCACGTTCTGAGGAGGCTTGAGGGTTTAGGGTTTAGGGTTTAGGGTTGAGTGGCTGGTCCTCCATTTGAGATCGTGGCATTCTATGAAGGGGGCAAGTGGCAGGACTGTGGCCATATGTGACAGCTCGGCATGTGGCTTTGGAGCACTTTGGTGGCCACCTGTTTTCAGATTTGGGGATTTACGATAGGGACCCCAATATCGATCCCCAAATAGTAGGATCCCCTTACAGTAAGGAGCCCAATAAGGTACCCCCAATATCGTAAAACGGGTTATCTGTCTTTTGAGCGTGGGAGCTTATCAGGAAGTAATTATTCGGTTTGTCAGGGTGCTAGATCAGGTTTCCTTAGGGGTACTTGGCAATAGTTTAGATTTTTGGCTACTATAATCCCTAAGGAACAGCAAAACTTGTAATTTTTGCTAGGGTGCCAAGTTCAGTATCGTTTCAGGGTATGTTAGGGCACCCTAAATCCTAAACCCTAAACCCTAAACCCTAAACCCTAAACCCTAAACCCTAAACCCTAAACCCTAAACCCTAAACCCTAAACCCTAAACCCAAAACCCAAAACCCTAAACCCTAAACCCTAAACCCTAAACCCTAAACCCTAAGCCGTCTAGGAGTAGGTTTCAGGGTTGGGCTTAGGGTCGACTGCCAGGCTACGCCAGCAGGCTGCCGCTCCAGCCGATCTTGGAATCGCAGCTAGCCAACTTCGAGGCAAAAGGGGGAACGCTAAGGTTTAGGGTTTAGGGTTTAGGGTTTGGGGTTTTCGGGTTTAGGGTTTAGGGTTCTAGGGTTATAGGGTTATAGGGTTAGAGGGTTATAGGGTTATAGGGCTATAGGGTTATAGGGTTATAGGGTTATAGGGTTATAGGGTTACAGGGTTATAGGGTTATAGGGTTCCAGGGTTATAGGGTTCTAGGGTTATAGGGTTCTAGGGTTATAGGGTTTTAGGGTTATAGGGAGGGTACCCTAAGCCTTAAAGCTTTGGCTGCAGGATCAGGAGGTTGTTCTGAGTCAGGGTCCCTCTTGGCTTAGATTGCAACCGGTGCCCCTTGCCTAGGGGTTTAGGGTTTAGGGTTGAGGGATATTTGGATATTCAAGCCTCCGGGGCTTTTCTGCGCCATCGTGGAGGTTGCGCTGACACCCTGCTTCCCAGCCGTACTGACGCCCCAAAGGGTGCCTGGCTTACGTTTTTTTTGGGGTTTCCGAAATTTGATGGAAGGCCCATGGGTAGTTTAGTTTAGGGTTTAGGGTTATGAGACAACCGAGTGTCAGATTTTCCAACACCGCCCAAAACGGCCCGCATCGGCATTTTTTGCTAACCCTACTCCTAGCAGCAGGTTCCCTAGGCTTCAAGAGGGTTATGTCTAAGAACAACATTTTGGAAGGGTGGAGGGCCAGTCTGGTTCAGACCCAGGTTATTCTTCGGACCCCCCCCCCCCCCCCCCCCCAAAAAAAAAAAGAGCAAAAACAAGGTTTGGGTCTGGGAAACCGCAAATGTATCACAATAAGAATCATCGTGTTCGGGGGTGTCGCTCCTCTATTTTGGGAAGTGTGCGGCTTGCCCCAAACCTGGCACACTTCAATAACCCTAATAGGCCGAAAAACCCGAATAGCCTGATAAACTCCAAAAACCCAAACAACCCAAATATCCCTCAAAGCACAAAGAACCCTAATGGCCCCAAGACCTCTAATTACCCGAACAACCCAACACCCCGAAACAGAAAACCCCTAAACCCCTAAACCCCTAAACCCCTAAACCCCTAAACCCCTAAACCCCTAAACCCCTAAAGCCCTAAACCCCTAAACCCCTAAAGCCCTAAACCCCTAAAGCCCTAAAGCCCTAAACCCCTAAACCACTAAACCCCTAAACCCCTAAACCCCTAAAGCCCTAAACCCCTAAACCCCTAAAGCCCTAAACCCCTAAAGCCCTAAAGCCCTAAACCCCTACACCCCAAAACCCCTAAACCCCTAAACCCCTAAACCCCTAAACCCCTAAACCCTAAACCCTAAACCCTAAACCCTAAACCCTACTAGGCCACACGTAGGGTGGGGGTGGAAGTTTCCGACGCCCATGCCAGGCGCTGGCGGGCGTGGAGGGCCTACGCCTGGCGGAGGCGACCGGCGGGGCTTGGGTTTAGGGTTTAGGGTTTAGGGTTTAGGGTTTAGGGTTTAGGGTTTAGGGTTTAGGGTTTAGGGTTTAGGGTTTAGGGTTTAGGGTTTAGGGGTTTAGGGTTTCGGGTTTAGGGTTTAGGGTTTAGAGGGTTTGGGGTTTGGGGTTTAGGGTGTGGGGTTTAGGGTATAGGGTTTGGGGTTTAGGGTATAATTTGGGTTTAGGGTTGTAAGGACACCAAAAGCCCCGAAATATCCGCAAAGCCTGAACCCTAAAACCGAGAAATGCCCATTATCCTAAACCCCAAACCCCAAACCCTAAAACTCAAAACCCAAAACCCTAAACCCTAAACCCTCAACCCTCAACCCTCAACCCTAAACCCTAAACCTGAAAACCCCTAAACCTGAAAACCCCTAAACCCCTAAACCCCTAAACCCCTAAACCCCTAAACCCCTAAACCCCTAAACACCTAAACCCCTAAACCCCTAAACCCCTAAACCCCTAAACCCCTAAACCCCTAAACCCCTAAACCCCTAAACCCCTAAACCCCTAAACCCCTAAACCCCTAAACCCCTAACCCCCTAAACCCCTAAAAACCCCTAAACCCCTAAACCCCTAAACCCCTAAAACCCCCCCTAAACCCCTAACCCTAAACCCTAAACCAACCCTGAACCCTGAACCGAAACCTAAATCCTACCCTCAGCTCAGATACAGGGTTTAGTTTTAGCGGTTTAGAGGTAAAGGATTTACGGTTCAGGCTTTAGGGTGTAGAGTTAAAGCATGACCCGCCCCCCCCGCCCCCTCCCCCCCCCCCACCCCCGCGCAGGTGGCATTGGAAGCCTCTGAGGCAAGAAGGGGCTGGAAGTGTGGGAGCATTTTTGCTCAGTACTCCGGGTTTAGGTTCAGGGGTTTAGGGGTTTGGTGTTTCGGGCTTTTTGGGCTTGCACGAAACCCCTCAACCCTCAAAAGCCCTCTACGAGGGAGTGCATTCTTGTAGGGCAGCAGACGTTTTCACTTAGAGTCTATCCCCCAGTTACCTCCCCCCCCCCCTTGCCTGAGGGTGTAGGGTTTTGTTGAGGTTTAGGGTTCATAGGGGGTAGGGTTTATAGTGTTTGTAGGCTTTATAGGGTTCATAGGTTTTAGGGTTTATAGGGCGGTTCAGGGGCCCTCTCGGACCCAGGAGGAGCAGTTCGTGCAAATCCGCAAGCACGTCGATCCCTTCTACGAAGTGGCCGAGGTGTGTGGCTTTTTTGGTGCGTCTCCGGCTGCTTTTCTCTCTTTTGCTATTTTGGTGTACCTTTTTTTTGTGTGGCGGGTGTGAGGGGGGGGGGGGACCTTCATAAAAACCTCAACCCTCCACGCAAAAAGTCCTGAGCCCTTGGAAGCCCGCCTACAGCCACGCACACAAGGTCGAGGGCTACACCCTAAACCACAAACCTACACCCTCAGCCCCAAAACGCCGGACCTCAGTCAATTAGGGCTTGTTATATGGCCTAGAGGGTCCTTAAGGGTTTAGGGTTTAGGGTTAAGGGGGGCGGGTTCATGGGGGGGGGGGGGTAGGTACCTAGGAAACCTTAAAAGCCTTAGAGAGTCTATTAGGGAACCTTGAGTTACATACCCTTTGAACCCCCCTGAAGAACCCGATCAGCCTGGGGAACCCTAAACCTTAAACCCTAAACCCTAAACCCCAAAACCCAAAACCCTAAACCCTAAACCCTAAAACCCTAAAACCCCAAAACCCTAAACCCTAAACCCTAAACCCTAAACCCTAATTTTTGTTCAAGCCCTGAAGCCGGCAGGACGCCGCGATGGCCGCCGAGATACCGGATCCCGACGAGTGGGTGCCCGAAGAGGCGGCTCGTTTCTTTCTCAGACCGGGTTTTGTGTTTAAGGTTTAGGGTTTGGGGTTTAGGGCTCGTTTCTTTCCCAGACCCTGGTGCTCCATAGGCCTGTATGGGTTTAGGGTTTAGGGTTTCGGGTTTAGGGTTTAGGGTTTGGGGTCTAGGGTTTAGGGAAAGGCCTTTACACAGCTTTGAGGGTGTTTCTTAGGCTTATAGGCGTGAGGGTTTGGGGTTTAGGGTTTAGGGTTTAGGGTTTAGGGTTCGCGCAGTGCACGGAGAGCCAAGGACCTGCATCACACAGGAGCTTGCAACTCCAAACCCTAAACCCCTAAACCCCTAAACCCCTAAACCCCTAACCCCTAACCCCTCACCCCTAACCCCTAAACCCCTAAACCCTAAACCCTAAACCCTAAACCCTAAACCCTAAACCCCAAACCCTAAACCCCAAACCCTAAACCCTAAACCCTACACACCCTTGAGCCTTCACTTGAAAGGTGGACCCGGAGGTTGAGGCGGAGCCTCAGGAGGGGTCAGCCCGCGCATTTGGGGACTGAGGGTTGTGGACAGGGCTTTGGGGTTCAGGGTTCAGGGTTTAGGGTGTAGGGTTCAGGGTTCAGGGTTGAGGGTTTCTTGGGGTGTTTAGGGTGTTTAGGGTGTTTGGGGTGTTTAGGGTGTTTGGGGTGTTTAGGGTGTTTAGGGTGTTTAGGGTGTTTAGGGTGTTTAGGGTGTTTAGGGTGTTTAGGGTTTTCTTGGGGTGTTTAGGGTGTTTAGGGTTGTTGGTTCAGGGCTTGTCGGGTATTGAGGGAGCCTAGAGCCATAGGCTTGAGAGGCACGAGGCTCTTCGGTTTAACGGCATAACGGCATGGAGGTCGTTCCTCTGAGATTTCGGGAAGTCTGTCTGCTGCGATGAAAGTGCGTTGGCCGGTGTGGGCTAGCTTGGAGGGGGAACCGCGTGGCCGCCGTGATCTATTCTTGAAAGAAGTTGGCAAGTACTGCTGGTGTGGATGCTGCCCAATTCCGAAGAGGGCTGCATCATCATAGGCTCAGAAAGCATTGTTGAGCGCATGCTTTTTTTTCGGGACATAAGTGCAAGGAGCTTGCACTGACACCGATCCGTCCCCATGCCAGAACGGATCATCAAGCCTTGATACAAGATTCTGTGAGGCACGAGGTTTCTGGAGTGACGGCTGTTGAGCGCGCATGCCGCTGTTCCAAATTAGGCCCCCTTTTCTGGTCACTTCTCTAAATCCGGGTCCCTTTTGGGACTTCTATTCTACGGCGGCCCCTAATATGTAGGGTAGTTACCCAAACAAGGCCCCATAATTTTGAGAACTGACCATGCAAAACTTTCAACGTAAACGCCGAACCCCTACAACCCTAGACCCTCAATGCTACAACCCTAAACCCTAAACCCTAAACCCTAAACCCTAAACCCCTAAACCCTAAACCCTAAACCCTAAACCCTAAACCCTAAACCCTACAACCCTACAACCCTACAGCCCTCCACCAGGAGCCACCAGTCATACCCTGGGGCAGCTGTGGCTCCTACTGCCGCTTCCACAGCAAGGCAGTGAAGGCTGCTTTGGTTCAGGGTTTAGGGTTTAGGGTTTAGGGTTTAGGGTTTAGGGTTTAGGGTTTAGGGTTTAGGGTTTAGGGTGTAGGGTTTAGGGTTTAGGGTTTGGTTGGGTTTCAGCGGCTTTAGGGCTTCACGGGTCAGGGCTGAGGGCATGCAGGGAACTGTGGAGGCCTAAATCCCATAAACCCCCCAAACCCTAAACCCCCTAAGCCCCCTAAACCCAACCCCCTATACCCTGCAAGGGCCACGGCTCAAGCCCGACATGTCGCCCCCTCTTGGACTCGAACATTGGGGGTGGATTTGGTGGCAACCTCGTCGTCGACTATAGCTGGCAGTGGGATGGTGGTGGGATGGTGGTGGGATGGTGGTGGGATGGTGGTGGGATGGTGGTGGGATGGTGGTGGGATGGTGGTGGGAGGGTGGTGAGTTTTGCCTCCTGTTGGGGGGCGTGCTTGGGGGCGTGCTTGGGGGTGGTGGTCCTGAGGAACGTCTTGGTAGTATCGATGGCAATGGTGGACGAGGTTGAAGAGGTGTGGACTATGATGGCAAGTCGTGGCGGTGGTGCTGGTGAGTGGAAAACTTCGGTGCACACGAGCGCTTGGTGGTGGAAGTAGTGAGGAGTGTAAAGGGCTAGCATCGTAGTGTCAGCTCCCGCCTTGAGCGATTCCAGTGAAAAAACGAAACCCGTTAATCTCAAGCCTTAAGCCCCACGGAGGTTCGTGGATACTTTGTAAGCAAGGTTATTCGTAGGGGGTCACTCGCCGCTGCTCATAAATTCTTAAGTTCAAGACGTCGAGGGCCGTCGCAAAACAGCCAAGATTAAGAGATTTTTGGTCCCATGATGACGGTACCCTCGATTGCTTAAGTTAGTCTTGCTCTCATTCCTGAAATTTTAAACCGGGGGTCCCGGGAGTGCTCGTTTCTTAAACTAATGGTTTCTCAAGCAGTGCTGTCGTGTTGTCGCTGTACTTATCACCCCACTTATAAGTACCCATGAACCTTCAAGTAAGGGTTCTGAGCTATTAGGGTTAAGACCCAGAGCGCTGGGGCCTTGGGCCTACCTCCGTGGCTCGAGGCTCGAGTCTCAGCGGGGGCTATATTGGGGTTTTCAGGCCTACAGGAGGGTTCAGGGTTTAGGGCTCCGGGTTTCCCTAAACTCCTAAAACCCGTAAACCCCTGACGGTTTAGGGTTGTCGGTGTTGTCGGTTTTGGTCCCTAAACCCTAAACCCCAAACCCCAAACCCTAAACCCTAAACCCTAAACCCTAAACCCTAAACCCTAAACCCTAAACCCTAGACCCTAACCTCTAAACCCTAAACCCTAAACCCTAAACCCTAAACCCTAAACCCTAAAGGGTGTTAAAACCTCTGAAGCTGAGCCCAAGGTCCGGTCACCCTCAAGGAGCAGCGCGGCAGTCTCAGCCGTTTCCGCCCTGACTTTCAAGTCGCAATGATATGCGGTGACAACGGGGTTGCTGGTACTTATTTAGGCTCCTTTACTACTGCCCTAAACCCTAAACCCTAAACCCTAAACCCTAAACCCTAAACCCTAAACCCTAAACCCTAAACCCTAAACCCTAAACCCTAAACCCTAAACCCTAAACCCTAAAACCTAAAACCTTAAACCCTAAACCCTAAACCCTAAACCCTAAACCCTAAACCCTAAACCCTAAACCCTAAACCCTAAACCCTAAACCCTAAACCCTAAACCCTAAACCCTAAACCCTAGACCCTAAACCCTAAACCCTAAACCCTAAACGCACACGACATGGGGTCTGACCGCCATGCCGGTGCTCAGGGATCAAGCTTGGAATTTCTGTGCGGCCCCGGCGTGGGCATTGATGACACTGCTTCCTGATTATGGTAACGTGTAACATTTAGTTTCCTTAAACAAACCCGTAAACGCCCTAAGCTTCAGGCCAATCCGGAAGTTTAGGGGGTTTAGGGCTTCAATGGCTTAGGGGTGTTAGAAGGTTTGGGTTGAGAGGCTTTTGGTTTTCTCTTGAGGGGTTTGAGGGGGTTTCGGTTTGGAGTCAGGATTTAAAGAGTTTAGGGGGCTTGAGTAAGGTTCAGGGTTCATAAGGCTTGTTGGGGTGTACCTCGTTCCCTCAAGCCATGAAGCCCTAGACCTCTCGTTTGTTTCCAATGCCCCGGGTACTTGAGCAGGGGCTACACACACTTATTCATCATTGCTATTGTAGGTGAAAGCGACCCAGTCGTTCTTGCTGAGGTTGGCTCTATCCTGGCCAGAAGGACAGCGGTGGGGCTGGGAGCTGGCCCTGTGGTTTCGGGTTTAGGGTTGAGGTTTAGGATTTAGGGATTGCATTGTTTTCGTCAATGTGGATGATGATGCCCCCGGTGGGGTCATCCTCGTCCCTGACCTAAGTTGGGTTTAGAGTTCAGGTTTCAGGGTTACGGGCTTAGAGCTCAGCCCCCTCCCTCTCCTCCCCCTTGGACGGGGAGGATTTTCAGCACGTCTACCGCAACTACGTCTTCGCTTTGGGCTCGGAGGCCGCCAGCGAGGCGCGTTTTTTGCTGTTGCCAGTTTTTGTTTGCTTTTGTCTTGCTTTTGTCGGGCTGTCTTGTTTTGGTTTGTGGTTTGGGAGTGTTGGCGCGTTGGGAGGGTTGAGGGTTGTTGGGCTTACTGAGGGTTTTGGGGGTCAGGTCTAGGCGAGGACCGGCTGGGATTATCGGGCTTAGGGCGTGTTTGCATGCTTTGATTTGAGCAGGGATCTTCTCGCGGCCCTCACGGTGACTGAACTTAACTCCAAGCCCTAAGCCCTAAGCCCTAAGCCCAAACCCTAAACCCAAAACCCTAAACCCTAAACTCTAAACCCTAAACCCTAAACCCTAAACCCTAAACCCGAAACCCTAAACCCTAAACCCTGAGCCAGTTCCACCGATGAAGCAGGCATTCCTGCGGGAGCCCGTTCGCTACGTGCCGGTGGCGGAGGAACCTGCCTTGAGCCCAGCATGCCAAGCCACCCCCCCAGTTTAGGCCTTGGGGCTTGGGGGGGCTGCCTTAGGGTTTAGGGTTTAGGGTTTGGGGTTTAGGGTTTAGGGTTTAGGGGTTGGAATCCCTCACCCGAAGCCCTAGGATGCTCTCAGTTTCAATCATGTTACAAAGCAACATGTCTTCACGTGTTACACCCCCCCCAACCCCCCCCCCCCCCCCGAAAACCTTGAGGGTTGGCGCCTGTTTGGGCCTTGGGTGAGAGCCATCCCCCCAAAGCCTACATCCTAATTTGGCTTCAAGTCCTTGAAGCCAAATTGGTTCAGGGTGCGGTGCGTAGGGCTGAGTCTTTAGGTTGCTTGTGCAGACTTCAGCGGTTAAGAGTTTAGGGGTATCAGGGTTCAGGGGCATGAGGGGGCACCAGGGTTGTGGGGGCATCAGGGTTGAGGGTTTCGGGATCCTACCATCCCCCCCCCCTTTCCTCCCCCAAAAAGGCGCGTCGCGTGCCCGCGAACATCCCGAGGTTCTGCCACCACCGCGGGTGATGATCACCGGGCCGACCGGAGCGGGCGTTGCCAAGCAGCCCGCCCTTCTTGAGACCTTACTTGCAGGTTCATGGGTCTGGAGGTTCCTCTGTGTTATTTATAGGTAGTGCTGCAAGGTCCCCCCACCCCCCCCCCCCCTCGAAAAAAAAGAAAGAAAAGAAGAGCAAGAACAGAAGAAGCTGATAACCAGTTCTAGCAGTTACTCTACTTCCAGTTAGGACTACCCAAGAGTCTCCAAGTATACAGTTTGGGAGTTGAGGACCCGCTTAAGGAAGAACCAGGTCAGCCCTTTCCTCACGAATTCAAAGAAGGAACCCTCCAACACGCCCCACTTCAAAACCCGCCCAAATCCCAAAGCCTAGAACCCCTCAAGCCCATCAGCCCTAAACCCCAGAACCCCTAGAACCCGAGAACCCGAGAACCCATGGTACGTTCGCACCCCAAGTCCCTTCAGTTCTTGGGGGGAGGGGGGTTGGGGGGGGGGCGGATAGGTTCTTGTGTTTGAACTTCTTTAGAGAAACGAAGGCTACTCCTAGTTATTCCTCGGGGACTCTGGGGATCTAGTCCAGCCAAGGCAGTGTGAGCTGCTGAGCCAGGCCTTTGTGCAGGGCTAGTGGGTTGTGGGACCTTGAAGCCCCCGGAAGCCATCCCAAGCATCCCTTTAACACCTTTGAAAGAAAGTCCTTCTCCCCACCCTCAAATCCCCTGAGTTCTAGCGCCTTAGTGCATCTTCAGTAGCTCGATTCTGGCCTCGGAAACGGCTTGCTGTAGTCAGGCCTTTGGGATTCGGGCTTTGCCCCCAATTTTGCTTGTTGTCCCACTTTGGGTCTTGGTTGCTTTGGGGTTTAGAGGGTTCAGAGGGTTGGGTTCAGAGGGTTGTGTTCAGAGGGTTTAAAGGGTTCAGAGGGTTGGGTTCAGAGGGTTCAAAGGGTTGGGTTCAGAGGGTTTAGAGGGTTCAGAGGGTTGGGTTCAGAGGGTTTAAAGGGTTCAGAGGGTTGGGTTCAGAGGGTTTAGAGGGTTCAGAGGGTTAGGGTTTAGAGGGTTTGGTTTGGAAGGTTCAGAGGGTTCAGAGGATTTAGAGGGTTTAGAGAGGGTTTACAGAAAGTTTAGGGGGTGTTAGGATCCCTAGAAGGGACCCTTAAGCTTATTCCCCTAATGGTGTACCTTATTTTAGTCCTCATATGCCTAAGTAGCCCCTAAATAACTCCTAAGCAGCCCAAGAGTCCCTTGAAGGATCCTTTAGTCCCTTGAGTTGGGAGGTCTACAGGATCCCAGTGCTCAAGCTTGAAGAGATTTGGAGGACGCCGGGGTCGACTCGGAAACCTCGAAGTCAAACTGAAGCCCTATACCTGACGCCCTATGCCGTAAGGCCTAGTTGCTGAGCGCTAAACCCTATACCCTAAACCCTAAGCCCTAAGCCCTAAACCCTAAACCCTAAGCCCTAAGCCCTAAGCCCTAAGCCCTAAGCCCTAAGCCCTAAGCCCTAAGCCCTAAGCCCTAAGCCCTAGGCCCTAAGCCCTAAGCCCTAAGCCCTAAATCCTAAACCCGAGGTGCGACACCTTAAGCCTTAGGGCCCCGAAACTCCATGTAGAGGGCTCTGCAATGCAGAGCTGCTAGCTGCGAGGAGACCCAGCGTAGGGCTTTTGGGTTGTTTGGCATGCCCCGTTTAGCAGAGAAGCAGGGCTCCCCTTTTTGTTGTCAGGGGTTGCTGCGGAAACTTGTTTCCAGTCTGTGGGGGTTTATGGCACTTCTGACAGGCTATATTTCGGGTTTAGGGTTTTGGGTTTATTTCAGGCTCACGAAGGTTGTAGGGGAGTTGGGGGTTCTCCTGAAGCTCAATTTCAGTCCCTCCCTAAACTCTGACCCTAAACCCTAAACCGGAAGCCCGAACCCTAAGCCCCACACCCCACGCCCTGCACCCTAAACCCTAAACCCTAAACCTCCCATGTCGAACTTCCTTGTGGCTCGTCTCATGAGGGAGTAGAGATGCCCAAGCGGAATCTTGGCTCTCGGGCGCGGCTCAGGGAGTTGCGGTTGTCCCCCACAGAAGCCCCATGGGCCCGTCAACATGAGACTCCCAACATCTACGGTCGAGTCCAACCCGGAACGCTAAACCCTAAACCCTAAACCCTAAACCCTAAACCCTAAACCCTAAACCCTAAACCCTAAACCCTAAACCCAGAACCCTAAACCCTAAACCCTAAACCCTAAACCCTAAACCCTAAACCCTGAACCCTGAACCCTGAACCCTAAACCCTAAACCCTAAATCCTAAACCCTAAACCCGAAACCCCAAACCCTAAACCCTAAACCCTAAACCCTAAGCCCTAAGCCCTAAACCCTAAACCCTAAACCTCTATCCATGCCAACATGCTTCCAGGGCCAAGACCCGAGAGCGCCTGGACAAGGTTCTTGAGGAGCGTGGCGTGGGAGGAAGTTGGGGAATTAGGGTTTAGGATTTAGGGTGTAGGTTGTAGGGCTTAGGGAGTTTAAGTTTTTAGGGCTTTAGGGTTTAGGTTTAGGGAGTCTAGGGTTTAGTTTTGCGGGGAGTTTGGGTTTAGGTTTTAGGGAGTTTGAGGTGGGGAGGGGTAGGGAGGGGTGGGTGGGGCTTCTTCTAGGGCTTAAGGGTTTGAGGGTTTCAGGTTGTGGGGTTTTGAGGGTTTCAGGGTTGAATGTGCAAGGGCATTGGAGACTTTGGGGCTTAACGACAACCCTGAAGCCCTCCGCTCCTACTTGGAGGTTCATGGTTCTTCTTAACCAACTATAACTGTACGTATAAGTATACTTATAACCATATTTGAGCACTTACAGGGCTCATAGGTCCGTTTTAAGCACAGTCATAGTTGGTTAATAAGTACCATGAACCTTCAAGTAGAGTCCTGGACCCTCAGACCGAATGTCCTGACACCACTAAATGGTAGCGGAGTTCGAAGCTAAGATGTTCCTGTACCCACAGTAGGTCCTTATTCGCTTGCTTCTTTACCTGGGGGGGGGGGGGGGGTTTTTTAGGTTTTAGGGTTTTTTTAGGGTTTAGGGTTTAGGGTTTAGGGTTTAGGGTTTAGGGGGGTTTAGGGTCAGGGTTCAGGGTTTAGGGTTTAGGGTTTAGGGTTTAGGGTAACTTGGACCCGGAGTAGGCACATATTTCCTTTTGTTAGGGTTCAGGGTTCCCCTTATCGTCCCCTGAAAAACCAAGAAGGGTACCCTGTTTATTCCGAGGCTACTCCTGGGGTTTAGGGTTTAGGGTTTAGGGTTTAGGGTTGAGGGTTGAGGGTTGAGGGTTGAGGGTTTATCGTGTTTCTCCAGGCCAAGCGTGCGGCCGCCAAGAAGGAGGCGCTGCAGCAGCCCATGGTGGAGGATGCTCAGGGATCCGCGTTCTTTTCGATTTGGGGTCCTAAACCCTAAACCCAAACCCTAAACCTTAAAGCCTAAACCCGAAACCCTAAACCCTAAACCCTAAACCCTGAACCCTAAACCCGAAACCCTAAAACCCTAAACCCTAAACCCTAAGCCCTTATTTGAGTTTAAGAGGATCATCCCAGGGTCTAGGCTGAATAAAGGGGTCGGACGAATTGCTAGTGGTACTCACTTATGGTCACTAGCATACATACAATAACCCCCCCCCAAAAAAAAAAACAAAAACTATTCTTAGTATTGAGGACCCTATAGTAGGTTTTTTTGAGGGTTCTGATTTGGTTGTTCTTCTGCTTTGGTGGTTTGGGTTGTTGTTCTCAATTCGGGCCCTTCATAAAGATCGTAAACTAGACCTTCCTCATGTTAAATGCTTCATATCTGAGGTAGCACGTATCAAGGAAGCCTCCTCGCCTAAACCCCACACCTTGAACCCCCCCGCCCTTCCCCCCAACAGCCCTCCGCATCTTCAGCCCTGGACCCTAAACGCCATAAAGACGTCAAGCACTAGAGGGACCCCCCCGAGCAAGGAACGCAGGATCACACACCCGCGCGTAGGTCTTAGGGTGTTTTTGGGGGTTTAGGGTTTAGGGCTTTCGGGGTTTAGGGTTTTGCGGGTTTAGGGTTGACGGTTTAGAGGTTTAAGGGCTCAGATTGTTTCTTTGTGGACCACAAGCGGGCCCTAATGAGCCCTAATCTGGGGAGCTTGTCGAGTGAGGCTGTATAGTCTGGGCATGTCAGCAGGTCTCTTACTTGCATGCTGTAGCTGTGGGCTTTTCAAGCAGGATAGCCCTAAGCCCTAAGCCCTAAACCCTAAGCCCTAAGCCCTAAACCCCTAAACCCTAAACCCTAAACCCCAAACCCCAAACCCTAAACCCTAAACCCCTCCCCCTTTCCCCCCGCCCGACGAACATCCGCACTGCTGGGGCCATGGCTGGCTGTGTGAAGGGCCAGGTGCTGGGCGCGCCTCTGGCGGTGCGAAAGCTGAACGGCGCCCCGATGACGTGGAGCATCGTTTCGGGCTTAGGGTTATTAGGGTTTAGGGTTTAGGGTTATTGTGGTTTAGGGTTTAGGGTTTAGGGCTTAGGGCTCAGGGGTCGGAATAAGTAGTGGTGTTCCCCTATGGTTCCTTTTCAAGTATACAATCATACCCCCCCCCCCCAAACCCTTTTTTAATTCTTAAGGCCCCTATATTAGGGCAGCGAAGGCTGAGGATTTGAGGGGTTCCTGGCAGGTTTTGCGGGATTTGCAACGATTTTGGGGGGCACCCAGGATGTTGGTATTGGGTTTGGCAGTGTTTGTTATTTTTGCTTCAGGGGTTTGCAAGGGCTTTTCGGGTTTCTTGGGATTCTTAGGGTCTCTAGCTCGGTAAGCCCTTGGGATATTTTGGATTTTTCCCTTAGTGGGTTTAAGAGGGCCATAGTTAGGAATATTTTTCATAGGGTTTTAAGGGCCATCCTCGTTAGGGTTTGCAAGGTTTTCTGGGCTTTATGAGCCTTTTTCGGGTCCGCAGGGTTGTTGAAAAGGCTTTACAGGGGGTTTGACCGTGGTTTAGGAGTTTGTGCGCAAGGTTTCCTCCAGGAACCCTCAAACCCTAAACCCTATACACCCTAGCCTCGTTGAATCCCAGGTAGTACTCCGAACCTTTAAGTGCAGAGGGTGCTAGGATTTGGGGCTTGTTGTAGCCACAGGAGCGAAAAGCGTACCCCCGCCGCCCACCCTGAACCCTGAATCCCAAAGCCGCCTTGGCGGGTGACATAGGGCTTCTGGCATTCTTCGTATGTGGCGAGAGGTTAAGGCACCCCTTCCCTAAAGCCCTGAACCCTAAACTCCCCCAAAGACCCTTATTTGATAAACCCCGAAGCCCCTGAACCCTATGTAACCCAAGTTCAACCTGAGGCGAAATGATCTGCCAAGTTCATGCGGACATTTCTGCACCCGAAGAGCAGCTGAAAGGTCACCTGGCTTGACATGGTGTTTTGAGGTTCCTTCTTCAGGGTTTAGGGTTTAGGGTTTAGGGTGTTTAGGGTTTAGGCCCCCCCCCCCCCTCTCCCCTTAAAACCCAAGGGCGCCCGTTCTATGCCCCAGGTTACTCGGGATATTATGACCTTCGCGTGTTTGGGAAGCAGTCTAATTCAGTGGGCCTCTATGTTATGGTCTGAGTTTGTCGTCGTGAGTAACCGAGCGCGGGAACGGGTGGACGGCTCCCAAATCATAATCTGAGACCGAAGCGAAGACGGGTCTAGGGTTTTGGAGGACGAGCGCGAAGAGCGTGAGAATTGAATACGCCTGAGACGGCAGAGGAGGGGAACACTAGAAGGAAGAAAGAGAATCTCTGTCAAGGTTAGTTCCAGGTACTCCAACCTCTAAGCCCTTTGAACCCTGTCCCTAAACCCAGAACCTAAACCCTAAACCCTAAACCCTAAACCCTGAACCCTAAACCCTAAACCCTAAATCGCCCTAACCCTATGAACCCTATGAACCCTCGGAACCCTCGGAACCCTGAGGATGCTTTGCAAAACTTTCAGACCCAATCCCTAAACCCTAAACCCTGCTAAATCCTAACCCTAAACCCTAAACCCTAAACCCTAAACCCTAAACCCTAAACCCTAAACCCTAAACCCTAAACCCTAAACCCTAAACCCTAAACCCTCAGGAGAGGTTGGGATGGCCACCCGCATCCCTGAGATGTTCTTCAGCCTCGTGAAGAATGATGATGGCGTGCCTCGGCCAGAGCCCAGAGAGCCCGGCAAAGAGAGGAATGGGGTTTAGGGTTTGGGGTTTAGGGTTTAGGGTTTTAGGGTTTAGGGTTTAGGGTTTAGGGTTTAGGGTTTAGAATATTCCTTCGCTCATCAAGAAGGACCCCAAGGTTGTGCTTAGTCTTGGGCTACCTGGGAAGCATGCGCCGTGCAAGAGAGGTGCGCCAGTTCCGAGACTGGATCCCGTCGAGCGTTGGACCGATGATCGCCCTTAAACCCTAAACCGTAGACTAATAGTCCCTATACGTATTTGTATGACCTGCTGTTCCACCCTCTTTTACCCCCTCCCCCCCCGTACCGTACAAGGCACTACCTACCCTCCGCCCCCCCCCCCCCCCCCCCCCCCCCCCCCCCAAAAAAAAAAAAGAATAAGTCAAATCCTTACCTAAGTTGACCATCGTCCTGGACAGCGATCGGCCTTGGGACAAGCTCTTCGTGGATGCATGCACCTTCGGTGATGTGTGCCGTGGCCAAATGGCGAATGCCCTTGACCCCAAAGTGAGCCCCAAACCCAAACCCTATAACCCGAGATTTCTCGACTGCCCGCACAGCCCCCTCTCTCTCCCCGGAATACAGAAGCCTCTAGCCTCTTAAAGCCCTAAACGCTGCTTATGCCCCAAACCCAAACCCTAAACCCTAAAACCCTGGAAACACAGAGGCCGCTGATTCAGTCGACCCTGCCGCTTCTCCAAACGACCCTGTGCGAGCAGAAGCAAGGTGGGGGCTCGCAGATTCTTTTTGTGGACCTTTGGGGTTATATATATATATGTGGGTTTACGAAAATAAGGACCTGACCCTAAACCCTAAACCCTAAGTCCCGAACATAGACCAAAATGATAGGATCTCGGGATCCCCCTTTATAGTCAGGACACCCGGGGCACCCCCTTTGCCCCCTTGGACCTTGCATCCGATAAACAAAAGTGCCCATGGCCCTCTGGATCCCTTCGCCCTTAGCACCGGAGCACCCTAAAACCCGAAGCTCTAAACCCTAAACCCTCAACCCTCAACCCTAAACCCTAAACCCTAAACCCAAAGTCCTAAACCCTAAACCCTAAACCCTAAGTCCAAACCCTAAACCCTAAGTCCAAACCCTAAACCCTAAGTCCAAACCCTAAACCTTAAGTCCAAACCCTAAACCCTAAACCCTAACCCTAAACCCTAAACCCTAAACCCCAAACCCTAAACCCTAAACCCTAAACCCTAAACCCTAAACCCCAAACCCTAAACCCTAAACCCTAAACCCCCATGGAGGCCTCCTTCTTGCCATCCTCAAGAAGTGGACTCGCGTCGTCGAGCTGCTCCTCGAGAAAGGCTTCTTGCTCTTGAAAGGGGCTTTGGCGGAGGGTTTAGGGTTTGGGGTTTAGGGTTTCGGGTTTGGGGTTTAGGGTTTAGGGTGCGTTGTCGGCAGTATCCGAAGGTACTCTTGTTTTGCTGTTTCTGCAGAAAGCCCGATCCCTGAACCCTCGGGTTTAGGGTTTAGGGTTCAGGGTTTAGGATTTAGGGCTGTAGGGTTTAGGGTCTAGGGACTCCCTCAACGCTTTCATGCCGTGTGCACAATCATGTGCTGTGCTCCTCACGGATGGTCTGCTATCCTAGTTGAGGTCCCTTGGTGGGTGTCTATACAGTACGACGAATGGGATCCGAAGTATGAGCCCTGTCTATACACAGTCTATATATCAGGGTAGAATAACAAGAGACCAACTTCAGTGCCCATACTCGGAACGCTGGAAACTCAGCCCGGACTTCATGGTCCTCAACCCCTAAACCCTAAACCCTAAACCCTAAACCCTAAACCCTAAACCCTAAACCCTAAACCCTAAACCCTAAACCCTAAACCCTAAAGCCCCAAGCTGCAGGAGTGAGCCCGAACATGGAGTTGAATGATGGCGGAGGACGCCGCTGCTCTCCCCGGCCAAAATTCCCGGCGTTTCTGAAAATCCCTTCATCCCTTAACCCGCTATATTTAGGGTCTAGGGTTTAGGGTTTAGGGTTTAGGGTTTAGGGTTTAGGGTTTAGGGTTTAGGGTTTAGGGTTTAGGGTTTAGGGTTTATATTTATGTATATATATATATACATGTACATCAATAGACAATATGTATATATATATATATATATGAATGTATATGTACATGTACATTCTTCAACAACGGACCATCCCGATGTTCGCGCGCATCGCGCGCGCTCTCCTTCGTTGTTGTCTTTCCACAGATTTACTGCAGTGTGTAGAATCCTGGACCCTAAACCCTGTTCAGGTTAGTCGGGGTCCATGCAGTGTGTTTTGGGTGGCAGGCGCAGGACTCCACTTTCAGGAGGGTCATTCCCCAACAGAAGCGTAAAAATCTTGGGGGTCGAGGGCTCTTGGCAAAGGAGTTTGTGGGCCTCGGGGTGAGTACCCTCAGCAAGTTCCCCCCACGTGTTCGGGCAGGACTGAGGCCATTGCACCTCTGCGCGCGATCGGGGGATGCCGATACACTTGGCTGCTTGGCCGGCGTTGGGCGCACCCTAAACCCTAAACCCTAGCCCTAAACCCTAAACCCTAAACCCTAAGCCATAAACCCTAAACTCTAAACCCTAAACCCTAAACCCTAAACCCTAAACCCTAAGCCCTAAGCCTTAAATCCTAATCCCCTCATGTGTGTGGGACCAAAGATTGCGGAAGGGTCGAGGCTCTGAACTGTAATTACTT